ACAAGATAATTAGACTTTATTGATGCGTGTCATCTAGCTTACTCTGAATCTGGTTTTGCTTGACGGCTCAGGAGGCCACATTTTCCTCTGCACCTCTCAAACCTGCAGTATACGCAGACAGACAGAAGCCGATCCTCATTATTGACGTCCAACATGCATCAGAGATGCCTGTGCAAACACATCACATGCATCTCATTTCAAGAGTCACATTTGAACCGCTCTGTTGAAGCAGCCCGCCCGATGGCTGCACAATTTGGCTCCTGTGGTCTCAAAACAGATGGAGAAATCGTTTACACTGAATGGGCATTAAAAACATTTTGGACAGGTGAAATTCAGAGAACGCGCGGTGGTTTAATTATCTTAAGACAACAATAGAGTAAGCAGACTTCACAGAAACCCATTGATTTTGTGACAGAGGCTGCTTTCTGTGGAGCCGGCCTTGATGGATGCCTTCCAGGCATGCAGCTTTATCAGCAGCAAGTCTGGCAGAATCTCTCCACAGCGGAGAACAGATCCTGCTGCTGTTACATCACACTGTGATCAATCTGTTTCTCACATCCCACCAGACCTTCCATATCATGCACGTCCACTTTGTAACCAGTCTTCTGTATGGAAAAGAGCTACGCTGAAGAATCCTCTGAGAAAATCTGCCTATAACGATAACAATTATATTTTCTTGATTCACTTGTCTCTCCTGATTGAAACCCATGCTCAAAAATGAGTATGTTCTTAAAACTCTTCATGATGCTTCTTTATTTGCCCCCCAAAACCCTTCAGAGGCAGATATGGCCAATGTTGACAGTCACACTGCAACCCGATCCTACCAACTAATCCTCACCGAATCCCTGAGGGTTCCTGTGAATGACTGTGCACCAGCGGGATGGAACACAAACACACTTTTTTGCCAGACCAAGCACCAGGGAAACAGCGCTGGCTTTACCCTCACATGTTGCCTCAGCTGCCCCACGAGAACAGAGAACGGAATTAATTGCAACGTACGCTTAATCCACTTCAACGTAACATTTAGAGAATGTGAAATCATCAAGCAGCGATGGAGTATTTCTGCTCCAGGATCCCAATGTAAGACAGACTGGGTCAGTAAGAAATGGTGAGAGCAGGAATGCCGTGCTATGTGTCATCTACAACAGACATTGACCGTTGGTTCAACTGCAACACATTTGCAGATATAAAACTATTAAATATCTCATTTATAGCCCTTGGAATTGCAAGCTTGGTAGTCCATGTATTTATACACCTGTAAATTAGTTTGGGGAGTCTAATTTCAAATCTTGTTATCTGGACTTCGGGGGTGGGACGACCCCTTTGTTTACATTTGATCATGTGAAGGGGCCTTTAAGGGGATTTCTGTTTCCTTCTTAAATGTTTGAGAGAAAACAACAGATAACTTGAGTGTTTGTGGGCAGCCATATAGCGCCTGCAGTGAAAAGCATTATCCCCGCGTAGCTGGAGCTTTGCAGAGCAGGACGAGGTGCAGAAGACACACACATACTGAATCCAATTAAGCAGCAGCCTCAAGTGCATGACCTTGTTTTCATTTCCATTACAGCTGTTCCACTTAGTCGAGTATGCATTTGCCGCAGTGTGATCCTTCTCTTACTGCTATCGTAGTACATATTTTGTATTGATGCCGCCTCCCACTCACCTCTCTGCTTCTTGCTTCTCGGCCCACGCACACCTTCCCCAGCATTCCTCAAAGCTCTCCGTGCATCAAGCAGCTCCTTCCGCAACATCGTCTTCCTCTGTATGTTCCTTTAAAAAACGACTAGCTGGCTACTTCTGCCCCAAAGATCTTCTCCTCTGTGTACAAGACTTCCAACGGGGCCTTTCCATTGAGACACACCACCTTCAACAAGGGAACTTTCTCAACATGACTCCAACAGGCCTATTTCTCCCAGTTTCGTCTTCTCTTAATATCTTTAAAATGGCTTCCCTTGCAACATGAAATGAGAAATTGGCCGGGCACGGAGCTGCCGTCTTAAGATGGCTGCTGGACCTTTTAAACGTCATCTTCCTGAGCCCATGTCTGTCTTTTTTGCCCTCTCCCTGTCTTCCCCCAGTCCTCCCTAACTTTGACTGCAGTCTATTTCCAGTCCTGCACAGTACAACCCCTCCAGTTGTAGTGTACTTTCCCTTTGCACCCCCTTTCAGAGAGCCTGCCCCCGCAGTCAGAGCAGGAGATTAAACACACCACGACACAGAAACCGGACAACCTTTGATGTCCTCTGTGGGTCACTCTGCTTGGACGGCAGGGAGTTTTCAATCTCAAGTACAATGCAGACATCTTGTTATACACCATTAAGGACAGGCTACAACTGCACATACATTATGGGACAATGGGACAGTTACAGGGACACCAGTCAAAGAGAGGTGCGTCTATTTCAGACAGCGAAGAAAAAAACCTGAAGCCTTGAATGAGGTAAAGGTCTGTTTGCCCACCCTCCCCTCCTTCATCCTTCACCTTTACACTGCATCCCTTACTCCCTACATTCATCCTTGCATCATCAACACATCTTTTTATTCTCTAAGCCATCTCTTATGGGAACGGGTGACAGAACGCCTAAATCCGGTCCCGTACACCGACTCTCCCACTACACGTGTTTAGACCAGCTCAACCCAACAACTTCCTCAAATCCATCCATCCACAACTTCCAACCCTTCCCTAACACATTTAAACTGTTAATCACACCGTTGTGGTGTGATGTCAGCGACACAAAACAAAGAACATATAAGCATAGACAGGTCTGACATGATTTGATTGCCTTCGGGATGTGTTTCCCACCTGTTTGGGCACGTGACCCCCTAAAATGAAGAGGATGCATACATCTACGGGTTTTTGAAAACTGCCCGGATGCTTTTTTTCTGCTCTCCTATCTTGTTATGTTGTCCAGACCCACAGGCTGGAAACCACTGCTTTAAAAAGGTTCAACAAAGATCTCTCGGATATTATCTTATGAGTAATTGCAAGTCCTGTCTGGGACATTCATGGCCCTGTGTCACAATATGACAATAATCTGCTTTAGCTTAAAATGCTTTGCTTCTTCCTCAGAGCTTGCATGAAGCTTTCCCGGCCCTCAGATGCCTGATAGTGGGTCAATCAAAAGCTATACACCAGAGGGTGACATCAGCAAAGTGGTCTAGACTTGTGACACAGCACTACTGTGGCTTCTGATTGGTCTGATCGCTCAGGGTGATATCTTAAAGTGACAGACCTGACTGTCTGTCTGGCTAATTCAGTGATGTTTAAAAGCTAACCGTACAACAGACACCCACACAAATACACATGCACCCCCCCTCCCCCCGCCGCAGCACACCCACCCAGTCTCTCTTTCATCACCCTGGCCGTGATTGAGAGTGACAGTGCCGCGTCTTGACCGTGGTGATGCTATAATTATCTGTGATGTCTGCTGGTGCAATCGGAGACGGGGCCGGCGGCATCCACACATCACTGGAGCACGAGCCCTCCGGCCAGCACGGCACATACCAGGCCATAAATAACCACGAGGAGAGAGAGAGAGAGAGAGAGAGGAGGGGAGATGTGGGAGGGAGGCAGAGGTCAGAGAGATAGTAAGACAGCTATGATCCAGAAAATGGATAAAAACGAGGACGTAGTGGAGAAAAAAAAGATGTTGTTTTGCAGCCTTTTGCCATTCATGTAAATAGTAACATTAATCGACCAAAAGTTAAACAACAAACAAAGAGACAGTGCTGTTTTTAAGTCTTGGTTAAAGCAAGCCACGAGCCTTGATAAGTAATTATTTTCAGTTCCAACTGCTGACAGTTAAAATGTCATGCCTTACATATTAAATCCCTCATACATTACATACACAATTTACAGGTCTATTCAATGCATAAGACTGAAAACAAAATATTTAAGTTCCGCAGCTATGCAAGGCCTGACTGCCAAAGTCTTATATATTTTTTATTGTTCCAGGATTTTCGTGGGCAAGAGGAGGAGGTTTTTGTTTTTAGGTCAAGCCTTTGGAGGATGAAGTCTCCAGTAGGTTTCACAACAGTTAAGTCAAGCTTAACATGCAGCTCTGGACACAGAGAGAAAGAAAGTAACACCAGACCAAAAAGGGATTAAGAAAGAAATACATGCGATCTGTGCCATCTTTTAGCGTCGTAGGATAAATCTAATTCATAACTTCAATCAAGCTGAAGTTCACAGCGAGAGAGAGACAAAAGAAGAGACAATGAGTGACAGATGAAAAGAAGCAAAGAGCAGAAATGGGTGATGAGGAACAGAGAGGTCAAAAAGTAGAAACTAACGCTGGATTGTAGTGAGAAGATCAAAACTAGGAGAGCGAGACAGAGAGGTGCTGAGTGATGGGCCAGCTGAACAATGTGTGCCAGCTCATAGTGTGAGAGCTGGTGACATGTGAGCTCAACTGTCAACTTTCTCCACAGGCCAAGGCAGCGAGAACAGGATCAAATCCAGCCGGCAAAACAAGGAGCGTTTAATTCCGTATTCCACGCATGGGAATCTGTCATTGAAATGGATGCTGGTCAGGAGTACTTATACCAACAGCTGTGACGGTAATATCCTTGTAAATGCATTTGACGAGCCAGTTCTTATGACATGCATATCATATATCAATTATAAATAATCATATTTGCTGAATATTACATTTTTTAACCTAATTATTTTATGATGAAATGATAACAACAGACTCTTAGCATATAAAGTAGCCTTGTGATGCATGGGGCAGATTTCTTTTATTACCTGCGCGGACCCGTTTTTAGAGAGGCTTATGGGACGTTCCCATATTTCCTGGCTTAAATTAGATACAACATATCATAGTAGGAATGTTTTTACCAGCTGCACAAATCCCAACTTCCTCAGCTCTGTAAACACAACAAACAACAACCAAAGAGTCAGCTGTGCAGCTCATAGAAAGCCTCTGCAGGTGACTCTCCTCCCCTGGAATGAAATGAAAATGTCTTCCTGTGAAAGAAAAGTCTCAGTTGCTTGCGATTACCTTCACCGAGGTCCATAATGGCCAAGACGGCACTGCAGCTTGCTTCTCCCAGGTCATTGGTCGCCACGCAAGTATACAAGCCCGCGTCGCTCATGCGGCAGTCCCGAATCCACAGCCCGCCTGAGTCCTGGGCTTCAGATGGAGGGAGTGGCTCATCGTTGTGGTACCACGTCAGCAAAGGTTTGGGAGATCCTGCTACCGACACCCTCAGTCGGATATCACAACTTGTTCCTACTGCTGCTTTACGGAGTTTGCGGATGAAAACTGGCGGCGTTGTTTCATCTGGAGAAATCTGGTCCTTGGTGAGTTTGGGCCTCTTGAGACTGGGACTGGATCCGGGGCCTTCTGCCATCTTGATTTCTGTCAGACTTCTTTATGGGCTTTTTACCTGGTAATTGATTGTGTTATCGAGATCAGCGGCAGTTATTGATGGCCTCTTCTAAAAGACTCCATGGCCTCTGATGTCTCACGGGGAGTGCAGAGGATGTTTGACCGGGTCTGTTGCACTGGGGACTGTAATGACCAGAGCACATCCATTAAAATGACATCCAGTTATGTTTAGTTTGCTGGTCAATGTGTAACAACACATATTTGTATACATTGTTATGAAAAGCAACCTTTTACAGTTCTGTGAATAATGACTTCCTGTCCATAAAAATGGCATCATTGGTGGGCAAAACGCTGAATAAAACAAGACATTCTACGTTCAGTAAAGGGTTGAGACGCCAACTCTAAGAAAAATACTCAAGTGGCATTACCCCGGTATCACAGCTTTGGCTTCGTGACAACAAATGTTTAACAAAACTTGAGTGGCAAACTGGGGATATGGAATTTAAAAAAAATAGATATAGTCATAAGTGAATTATGGGAAGTGTATGATCTAGATTTTTTGGAGTTTGATCCATACTGAGGGCTAAAAGTCAAGATGTCCCTGCCTCTTTTCCTGATGGGAGCACCGCATCAGAAGAAGAGCTCACATGGGCCCCATGTTTGTTGGCTTTGGGACTTCCTGCAATTATAATCATTATTTTAGTAATATTTGGGGGGGGGGGGGGGGAAATGTAATAATCATTCAAAATGGCAATACACAGAACAGCATAGTTACTGATCAAAGCAAACATCAGCATTTGGATTTGCTGCATATGCTAATTTTTGATGTCCCGCTAATACGCTGATCCAAAAGAGTTGCTTAAAATAGACTTCACCCGATAATAGAAAGAAATGCATCTTACCTCACTTTTGCCATCAAAGATGAAAGGAATCCCTTTGGACATCCCCGCAAAGTCCAAGTTAAGGTAACAAGATCCATGGAGCAAAATATTTCACCTCAAATCATTTGCTAAAGCCCGCGTCTCTACGTGTCCTTTAGCGAGCTCGGGCTGGAGGTGTAAGTCCACCCGAGATCATGTAGCATTAGTAGCCGCTGCCATGGTCCCTTTCAACAGCTTCAACACTGCTGAAGACTGCTGAGACTGAGATCCTTCTTCTTAAAGGTCATCCACTCAGGCCTTCTGCTCTAGTGTCGTTTCAGCAACTACATTTGAGTACTAAAAAAAAACCAAAAACCTTTTGAGCTTTTTGGTACTTACAGCAGCTCTCTCTCTCTCTCTCTCTCTCTCTCTCTCTCTCTCTCTCTCTCTCTCTCTCTCTCTCTCTCTCTCTCTCTCTCTCTCTCGTTGGGAATGACAGCTGCACCACCATGGATAGGTCATATTTCTTGGGCTGCCATCTATGACCTACACACACAAGCTCCCTTTAGATAATGTTATCAACCAATGTGTGTGTGGACATTTTGGCCGGGCCTCACTTTGGGACAGACCTTTAAAGGCCTGTTTGAGGGTTCAGACTTGGTTTTTAAGGTTCAGGTTAGGCATTCTGTATTTTGATGGTTGAGGTAAAGGGGTTCATTACATCAATGAGTGTCCTCACAAAGATACAAGTACACGGTTGTGTGTGTGTGTGTGTGTGTGTGACAGGCAAAGACAGCATGTGTGTGTCAGGTGCTATAAAAAGAACATCTAAGAATAAAGACAGGACAGTGATTCATACTACTGTAGGACAGTGATATAACAATGTAACGTAAGTAGTTGGAATATTTGCAGTAGTCAAAATACAATATAATGTCAATTCATTTGCAGCGTTCTTGCAGATTATTTTTGCATTTATCATATTTGTGCATTTTCCCCTGTCTACACATGCTGCTGTCACTTTTTAATGATTTTAACAGATCTACCCATTTTTACAAGAACAGTGTTGTTCCTTAACTTCTTTGTCTTCTGTCTGGATTGTCAGGTGATGTGTCGGTTCACTTTTCACTGTGATCTTTAGCCTCCATCTTCAGCTTTAACCTTTTTAACTGCTGAGTCAGTTTGACATGCTGGATACATCCTTCACACACATATTGTAGACCCTTCAGTCTCCTTCTCTCTGAAATCCCTTCTTTGTTTTCTCAAACAATAGATATGTATTCAGGGAGTGCACTTTGTGCTCGATGGTAGCTCTGACAGCTCGAAAGAGTTGCAGTGAGGGCCGAGGCTTAGCGAAGGGTGAATTGTGGGTATTTCCTTATGCCTGTATTCCCAGCTTCCCAAAGGCATAATGTGTTCAAACTCGTCTTTAATTTAACAAGCTGCTGTGCCCTGAGGTGTGCCAACGCTGAGTGAATACAAAGATCGTTATCCTAAATACACCGACCTTCACTGTTTAGCCAGACAGATTTTCTACATGTCATTTATCTCTATATTTGACACACTCTTTTCCTCAGTGTGTGTGTGTGTTTAAGCGAGCACAATGTATGAGAGGGATTGATACAGTTGGCCTAAAGTGAGCCCAAGAGTCCAACAAGAGTGCACATTTTAAGAAGGATGTATGGTGTTTTTTTTTAAGGTTTGAGATGATATTTTAGTGGGTTTATCATTCAAGTTTCATCAACTGGTGACACAAACACTCGTCAGGAACACTAATCACTCCAGCTGCTCAAAATAACCAAAAGCAGGGAAACAGCCGACTCACCACACTCGTCCATGTCTCCCAAAGAAACAGACTGAACCTCTCACTCACCAAACGAGGTGCACCTGTTACTAGGCTACTACTGATCCTGAAATCAGTCTCTGCTCATCAAGCCAATTACAACCAGCAGAGCCAACTTCTCCACACAAATCTTGTGTTCCCTGGTCAATCAAGTTAGGACGAGCCCCCATCTGTTCCAAGGCTGTAACAAAAGGGAGACAAGATTCTTATTATATTAAGATGATTTCTTAAGACATCCTGTGATTCCGAATGAGGGATGTAAAAATGAAATTATGCTGCGAAAATGACCCTGTACTCAAACAAATAGGATAAGGCTTTAACCACATAATAATTTTCAGTCAAAATTCAGGTAAAATAGAAGAAATATTTTGTCTGTAATGTGTTTTGGCCAAAACTGTCATGAAACACACACCTGGTGATGTAGTACTTTATCGCCCTCTTGTGGCAAACACAGTAAATTGTAAGGTATTCTTCTACAATCTATATTTGTAGGTATTTAGGCATTCGGTACAGCCCTGGTAAATAAACAGGTCCGTCTGTGGCACAATATGCCTTCTGAAGCAAAACATTTGATTAAAAGCAAACCAAATTGTGCTCATGCATCAGACTATGGAAACAAAAATGGTTAAGCTACAGAGTTTGTTTAAAAAAATAGATTTTCCCTCACATTTTTGTATTATGGATTTTTTTGAATCAATTTTTTAAATAACTTTGATTAATTCCTGTATTATTTTTGAATGGAGAACAAAAATAGTGACCCTAACCTATACTAAGTAAACTATAGTAAGTATACTAAGCTTACAGTATAGTATGTCGTAAACATCCAATGTTAATATCTAAATAATTATTTTTAAATATTTATTCCAAATTATTTATTAAATTATTCTCACTAACTGTGTATATAATGTTGTATCTTATCAGACCTTGTGTTTCTTTGTATTTTTGCATGTTTTACATTGTGTACTTAGTATGGGTTAGGGTTAGGGTTCAAAGCGTCATAGATGCTCAAGCGGTAAGGATTCCTGGTTTTTCTTACGGCCCGGTTCTCGACTCGCAGTCTGGGAATTAATGGCGAAAAAGTCTCATAAAAGTCATGGTATAACATGTTGAAAAGTGTCATAGATGAACAAGCGGTTTGGATTCCGTTTTTCACATGTTGCTCGGTTCTCGACTCGCGGAACAGGTGGGCAGGCCTCAAGCTTCAGGGATAGCTCACCAAGATAAGCAGCTGACAATGAGTGACATGTGGCACACTGAGGAGAAGGGATCAAATCCATCTCTGGTCCAGGAAGGTCCGGTCTGTTTCCACCACCGATTAGAGACACCAGAGCTGAAGATGATTCAAGATGTAATCTGGTGTTTTATTTGTAAATGTGCAGAACAATCTCTCATTGTTGTAAAGGAGCTTAAGTGTTAGTTTTGTTCCAGAGGTTTTCTGTGTTTAAGAGCTGAGTGAAGGCGGTCTGACCAAATAGCTCAGTCAGTTAGCAGACTGCTCAGAAGACCTGAGGTCATGAGCTCGCTCCTTGTGAGGTGCAGTGAGTTTTGAGTGAAAGTGCTGACACTAGTGATGCGTGACAACATGAGGTGAAAGGATGAAACCCTAACTGTGTTTCAGGAAGGTCCAGTCTGTTTCCTCCACACATTTGAAACACTAACAACAAAACTGAAGGAGCTTCATAGAGAAGAGTGATAGTTTATTTTTGCAGGAGAATGTGTGACGCTGCAGCAGCAGCTCAGCGCGTCAGATTGGGAGTCTGGAGGTTGTGGGCTCCATCCTGTGGCGCAGTGAATTTTAAGGTCCAACACCCAAGATGAGGAAGTTAAATACTCTATGAAGATGTACGACTTGACATAAGTGAGGCTGGGTTATGAGTGACTGGAGGTTATGAGTTTGTACCTTCAGTAATGCGTTACATCTTAAGGTCAACCAGTCAAAACAGAGGAGACAAATATGCAATGAACCAAACATGAGTGTCAGATCAGATAGCTTGAGGTGATAGACGACTGCTTAGAAGACAGGAGGTTGTGGCTTCAATCCCTATGTGTTGCAGTGACTTTTGAGGTCTAACAGCCAAAGGAAGAAGTCAAATACAGCAAGAGAAGAGTTCAAAGTGTGAGTGAAGTGATGGTGCGTTTACACAGTTCCCGGTTTGGATCGTGCTGACCCGGGTTCCCTCCTCACCTGTGTGAGGACATCAATGTCCACTACCCTGGGGGTCGAGACATCCGTCTCCTCCTGGGTTTTCAGAAAAATGAACGGAGAGGGTTATGGAAATGTGTTTTTATTTAAAGTCAGCTGAACTGCAAATTTAAAAAATTTGATCCACCCCCGACTCTCTATTTTAGATTTCAGAGTAACTGCGCAGCAGCAGAAGACCCACGTCTTCTTCTGCTGCTGCTGTGCAGTGAAGAGAAGAAACCCCGTCGTCCTCAGGTCTGGTCTGGTCTGGAAAGTCTGCACTCATCTGAGGAGAGAAGAAGAGGACAACGTTAGAAAATGCATCACATACATGTATTATTACTACTACTGCAACAATAAATACAACAATGGTTATCAACGTTTTCATGACTGAGTACAAACTATATTAGTACATTTTTATGAAACTATACTGTGACTTTTAAACTACTTTGAATGAACTATTTTTGTATCAGTTTTCATGCAAGAATTGCTCAATGTTCACGGATAAACTCAAAAATACGAAGGATTAGACAAACCTGAAGACTCTTCCATAATTCTCACGAATCGTTTGAACACCAGAACAGCTGCAACCGCCTACACGAGGAAACACACAATGATAACACGTAATCAGTTCTTTAACTCTAAAATGTTACACTTATTGTGAGTATTGTATTGATCAATTACTCTTGTCGTTAGATAGCATGTAAGCTAAGAGCTCATCCACAGGTGGCGTTGATTACCTGACGATAACACTAGCAGAAACTAGAACAAAGTGGATATAACACGCCATATTCCTTCTCACAGTAATCTACAATACTCGACTCGAATCATTCGGTTAAATTTGACCGACGTGTCGTTTATTTATTCGTCCCAAAAAGCCAACTTACCAACTGTACAGATGTTAGCGTAACTCAGCTGTAAGCGAGCTAGCAACGCACGCGACCATGTTTGTGTTTGTTGTCTTCCGGTCTGCTCGCTCTCGGCGGAAAGGGGGTCACTGACTTTCTTCCGTCGTCGAGTGTCATTGCCGAATTTTGGTTCCCATCATCATAAATCTACCCTTAGGAGCAGTTGGAGTATTGCGTATATTGTGTTTCAGCAAGTTGTTTCAATAAAAACTCACCTGGAAGGAAACATGAATTATTTTAGTCATATTTAGAACATGAGGTAGAGCACTTCAGCCTCTTGTGGCCAAAATGAGTATTACAACAAGAACATAAATTTACCTGCTAAAAATTATTCCTTTCAAAGATAAAAAAAAATGATTCAGACTCAGAAATTCTCAAATTTCTGTAGCTTAAAAAATGTAGAAAAAGAAAGGGGCCAAAAAACGTACAGAAGAAATAGTGGAATAAAGATTTGAAGAACAATACTTGGAATGCTGAATCAGCATTCCATCAATAATAGTGAAGCCCGCAGGATTATAGTCAGTGTGCTTTTGCACAGGCAGTTTTCCTGACTTTGTCCTACAAAGCCACACTAAATAAAGCATCAGAGGATGCTCAGTCCTCCTGTCATTTTTTTCCTCCAAGAAAACGGTGCAAGCTTCCTGTTCTGATGAATACCATCAAATGCAATTGGTTGGTTCAAAACAAAGCGTCTGTGAACATCTGGTGTTAGGCCTGTTAAATAGCTGATTAAATGTTGTTGTGCAGAAACACACCTTATGAAAAAACGTTTCTCTGAGACCGATTCAAGGCCAGTCAGATAAAGAGGGCCCACGGAGGCGTCCCTCACAGTAGACAAAGACTTTTTGTTTAGTGGGAAAACAGGTGTGTGTGTTAGATATGGCCGCTATGATGAAGTCAAAGTGTGCATAATATAACACTTCTGCAGTACAGGTCACAGATGAATGTTGTCAGCATCTTGAGAAGGTAATACAGCTCATACAAACTCAAATAGATATTTTTATTATGACTGTGAAACATTTATTATCCACCTACTGCAGATGATAATACAAACAGAAAATATGTCATTTTATCAGACTAATATGATCAGGATTATGTATGTCAACGCAACATTACTCTGAAGACTTGACACTCTGCAGTAGAGTGTGAAAAACCTTTCTAATACCATCCGTCTATGCTTTACATTCCACAATAAAACACACAGACAAATTCCCTCAATACTGTGTGAAACAGCCACCGAAGCAGATAATGCAACTTCCCAATCGTCAAGGCCGTCCTTTGCTATCTTCCACTTATGTGTTGGAAACAAAACGCTTTTGCTTGCAGACTTCACTCAGACTCGCTCGCTGCGGAGCCAAATAAATGTGTGTGAGAATTAGGAAAGCCACAGACGAGGATCAGTTTTGTGGAGCTAATTGGATCTCCATCTTTATAGAAAGGCTGTGCATCACTGGAAAATCGCCAGACTTCCGTTTTGGACTTTTTTGTTGTTACACTTAGAGGGTATTTTCGCACCTAGCAGTATCAAGTAGTTGCGTGCAGTGCAGTTATGGTGTCCTGTGCTCTTTTCGTCCTGGGCCCTCTGTGGATCCACATTCTGACACAAGCCTGCAGGGGTGAGGAGCTGTCCCGGGAAGCTGTGTTGTCCTGGTTCAGAGAGCGGGTCCTGGAGGGCCTCGGGCTGGAGCAGCCCCCTCTGACCACAGTCCAGGGTCCTGATAGGGACACGGCACAGCAAGAAGCAAGGCATGCATCCTGGAGGGCCCCCAGGACAAGCAGGACAGCGTGGGTCAACCGTCAAACCAGTCCGACCCAGGAAACATCTGAAATCATTCTCTTCCCCAGTTCTGGTGAGAAGCTTTGCTGCCGTTTTGTCTTTTACCCAAATAACAGCTAAAATACTCTTTCCAGTTTAACGCCAAATCATTTTGGATCCTTAATTCAAAGGACAACATGCTTTATCAGATTTTTCTCACATCTGCACAATAAAACTGCCCCGATCATGTAAAAATAAATCGTTTTGTTCTATGGGGTACTTGAGCACAAGACTAGGCTAAAAGGGAACCAAAGTGCCAAGAGGTCTGTTCCTCCTTTGAAACTACACTGCCTGGACTATATTTTCCATATAGTCATTGCATATCTTAATGTTGAAATCACACTATTTCATATGGCAGTAAACTCACTACATGCATGCGGCAGATACAAATAAAGCCAAATACTTGCACTGTATATTAGTTCATGAGCAAGTGTCCTTTCAGTGCATGGGAACAATGGAAAAGGCTTTTACTTAAAGTCCCTGTGTGTAGATTATAGCAGTTTAGAAGAGTCATTCAACACCAGGCTAAAAAGCTGTGTTCCACTGCCCCCTCTGGTTCAAAGTCTGAAGTCTGTTTTGGAGCCAAGTTATTGAGTGTGTTGATCTGAGAGAGTACGTAGACACAGAAGCCTCCTCCAGACAACAGGACAATGAGGGTGAAGCCTCAAACTCCCCTGTTACAAAGCAATAAACTTCACTAACTGCTTTCTTATCTCACTTTGGCAGACTCATCCTGTGCCACATCTGACTCAGCTCTTGGAGAAACCACTGATAGCCACTTCACGTATTACTTCCAGCCGTCCATGAACAACCTGGAGATGCTGGTCACATCTGCCCACTTCTGGTTCTATGCAGGCGAAGGAGCCAACTCCTCCACCCAGCTGTTCATTCTAACTTCAGCGCAGCAGCTTCTTCGGGCGGCAGAGGCTCCACCAAAGACGAGCTCAGACGGATGGACCACCTACCACCTGGATCAAAACCCACTGGCCTCTGTGGCTGTGGGCCCTTTTCTGCTCCAGGTCCGCTGTCCAGCCTGTCAGTGTCACACCGACGAACCGGACAAGACGCCCTTTCTTCACATCCACGCTCAGCCTCGTGGTCCTGTCCGCTCACCCCGCCACGCACCAGTAACCATTCCCTGGTCTCCCTCCGCTCTCGACCTGCTCCAGCGGCCCTCTCAGGAGAGACCTCAGCACAGTGACTGCCTCAGGGCAGAGATCGAAATCAGCTTCGAGGAGCTGGGCTGGGGCAGCTGGATCGTCCATCCAAAGCTGCTGACCTTCTACTATTGTCATGGGAACTGCTCAGCCTCGGATCGAACCATCGCCATGCTGGGCATCACACAGTGCTGTGCTCCAGTCCCGGGGACCATGAAGTCCCTGAGGATCACCACAACATCTGACGGCGGGTACTCGTTCATGTATGAGACCTTGCCCAACATTATACCTGAAGAGTGTACTTGTATCTGAACCTGAAAGCTTCAGTACAACCAAACAAAAATTTGTTTAGTTTTCTGCCATCCAGCCAAGCGAACATTTCTGAACAGACCCTTTAAAGCCGTGCATGCCACTTGTCTTACTAATCACACTCTAAAAGTTTACTTTTTTTTTTAGCTACAATCTGAAAGTAAAAATACTGCAAGGCCAGCATTTTATTGCTTTATTGTGATTCTGACCTTTAGAGGGCAGTCTATGTCTACTTTTACACTGCTTCATTTCACATCAATACCTTCACATACAGTCTGACTTCTGTTCATGTGCAATAGTAAAGCATTGATTTAAACATGGAACTCAATCGTGTTCTGTAAATACCACAAATAAAGTCAAGGTTTCATATTTTTCATCCCATTTACACACAAAAACATGAGCAGCAACTTTACCACAGACAGAGTCGAGTCCAAAGCATAACGTTCAAATATATTTATTTACTCTGAAGACAAAATAATCTCTACAGTTACAAAAACTACAAAACATACAATAGAAAAAAAAGAAATGCATTAACCATTGACGAAATATATTCAAAATGGAATGTCGTACCGTGCCACAAGTAGCAAAAGTCATAGTGAGATGATTACAAAAATACAGTATCAAAACGCTCTTTGGCAATGTTTCATTATTCCAGCTAAAGACCATAAAACCAGGCTATGAAAAGTGTGAACTCTGTATGAACACGGAAAGCTATTGATCAGAAGCATCACCATTAATTTAAGATTATACGTGTTTACATGGCGACGGGCTGTGCGTCAGCTGGGTTGGGGTTTTTTTTTTTTTCCAGGACACATGAAAGCGTCCATGTTTCAGCACAACGGAGGGCTGGTGGTGCACACGTCAAGACTGGAAAATGTGTCTCACCAAAGAAGAACGCCAATTTCAAAAAGACAAGGATGGAATTTCTTTGTTGACGGTAGAACAGGAGACAGATGTTTCCAGCCGGTGAGCAAAAAACCCACAAAATGAGGAATTATTGTTTCAATTTCTGCAAGGATGAACATTGTGATGAATCATTTTTATTTGGACACAATTTAAGGGAGGGATATACTAACATCCACCAGCCTACTTTTCAGAATTCGGTGGCATTAGTGATGCCAAAAGTAAATATTCTGGAGCTTTGGACAAGAAATAGTAAAACAATAAAATATATGGAGGGCTTTAAATGACTTGATTGTACAAAAAAAATGATTCTTTGAAATTCCTTGGAACATTTCCTGTCGATAAAGAATTCAAGCATTTCCCAGGTAAACATTTTGGCCGAGTCGAGCAAACACACAGGCTTCAAAATTCTGTCAAATATTTCTGAAATGGTGTGGCATGTGGATAAGAAACACCAATAATCCCCAACATCAAATCTGTTTAAATTAAACATGACTCATCCAGCGCAGGTTAAGCCGCCCTCGGTTTGCAAAGAAATGCTGCTGCACACGCTCCAGAAGAGACATTACCAGATTCTCTCCGAGGCAGACGAGCCTCGACAAAGAGGAGACGTTAACATTCGGCGGCGTTGTATAAACAGAGAGCCTCTCTTTTGAGCTGAAGACAACAGGAGTACACTTGGCCCAGAGGAGTTTTAAGCTTTCGATAATCCTTTCAAGGTCTGAAATGGACGAGGATTATTGAATGGCCACAAAAACACAGAGTGGGTGCAGACAATGTTTTTAGCCGAAAGGCACAGTCAAGGTTTGGACGCAGGTCAACAAGCAGAAACTCGAGATGTGGCAGGCTTTCAAGTTTAGAGTCGTGGAGATGAACCAATTGTCGCAATACAAATGGCAGGTCAGCATTTTTTTTTTTCCTTTCTCCCTTTCTTTTCTGACTCACCTCTAATACTGAAAGGCATATTTCTCCCATCTACACACACACACAAACACACACGCGCATACGTACACACACACTTCGGGCTCCCTCAGTGGTCTGACTGCACTCCCATATGGGGTGTAAGGCCAGTAGGAATGGAAGAACAGACGTTTGAGGCAGGAGGCAGGCTCAGGCATGTATTCCTAGGAGGAGGAGGAGAGACGTGACAGACAAATATTTAGCATGTTTGCTCACTTAAAATGGCGTTTCGCTGACCTGAGGTCAGGCCTCATGGAAATAAATCTGAGGTATGTTGACAATAGAGCTGAAACTAAAAATGATCGGCAACTATTTTGACAGTTGATTTAACGGATTCCTAGTTCAGAAGTTGACTTATAGAGAAAACGTATTTTAAAAGGTTTGAGATGCTCATCTAGACAGTTTAGGGCGATTGTTCTTATATTCTTCAAATTGTTTGTTTTGCTCACTCAAGACAAAAGCACAAATAACTTTCCATTTTTAGTCCTAAAAACCCTAGTTTTTTAAATTAGTAAACCTTAAAACTCACGAATGTTCAGCTTTTCTTTGGATGAATAACTGAAACGATGAAGTTTTGAGGTTTTAATGGACTAATTTGTTCCTTTACTACACCTAACTATAGAAAAACTGCATGTGGAAAACACATTTTTAGAAAAAAACTTAAATTAAACTACTTGTTTAAGTGTGCTCATTACCTTTCTCGCTTGCCTCCCCCTGCTTTTCCTGGGCAAAGTTGAGGCGGTTCTGCTCGACGGCCGTCTGTGCAGCCGTGTTGCCCTCGGGGCTGCTGCTTCGTGAAGGGATTCCTTCATCTGCCTGGTAGGCCAGGTCCAGTTGCTGCTGGGCCAGCTTCAGGTGCCTCCTCAACCGCTCCAGCTCCTTGGACGACGGCAACTCGTCTCCAAAACTCTCCCGCCCGGAGTTGCCTATTGGCGAGTCCCTCAGCTCTCCCTTCAGCTTCTCCTTCTTCATGGTGGCGTGGTATCCTGGTGGAGCGGTGGCCATGGCACGCGAGGAGGATGGAAGCGGGGTGCGAGAGCCGCGCACGGCCCGCCTGCGGAAGGTGTCTCGGATGCCACCGATCCCCAAGTGGATGATTTCTAAGATTGTGAGGAGCAGGCAGAGGAAAGACACGACGTACATCACCAGCAGGAAGATGGTCTTCTCCGTGGGGCGCGACACAAAGCAGTCCACGGTGTGCGGGCACGGCGAGCGAGTGCAGACGTAGGAGGGTATCACCTCAACGCCGTAGAGGACGTACTGGCCGAAGAGGAAGGCGACCTCGAAGGAGGAGCGCCAAAACAGCTGGCACACGTAGACCTTCATCAGGCCGTCACGCATGATCCGCCGACGGCCGTCATGCTTTTTCTCTGAGCCTTGAAAACAAAAAGGAGACACTGGTTGGAATCTGAAGCGGTTAGCATCCAAAGAAAGAAAAGCCTATTAGACAGAAAGTTGGAAGTGCTTGCGATCCACTGTACTTTTTTCCTCCTTGTCGGGTTTCTCTTGTTCGATCTCTTCAGCGATCATGGGGTCTTCCTCTCCGTTGTCTTCAACCTCCTCGTAGTCTCGAGCTGCCCCACGTGTGATGATGGGCATCCTCTTCTTCTGGTTCCGGACGAGCCGGTACTCGCTGTCGTCAAAGCGGGCGATCTTGTGCATGGCGAAGCCCAGGTACATAACGGTGGGGGTGGTGATCATGATCACCTGAACACAAAGAGACATGATCTTGTTGAAATCAACACTGCAGATACATTCTCAACTAATGGTGATCATTCATTGAAATGTGACTTGCGGCTCACCTGGAAGATCCAGAATCGTACATGCGAGAGCGGAGCAAACGCGTCGTAGCACACGTTCTCACACCCGGGCTGCAGCGTGTTGCAGACAAATTTACTCTGTTCATCGTAGTAGATGGTTTCCCCGCCGACGGCTGTCAGCACGATGCGGAAGATGATGAGCACAGTCAGCCAGACCTTCCCCACGAAGGTGGAGTGGTTGGAGATCTCGTCCAGCAGACGAGTGAGGAAGCTCCAACTCATGGTGCCAAGATGACCGGGGAGCTAAACGAGCTCTGGATGAAAAGGAAAAACACTGATTCAATACTTTTACTCTCGTTTCATTCTCCTTTTTAATTTCAATTAGCCACCTAATGCAGTCACTTATTATTGCATTGTAAACGTGTTTTTTTTTTTACTTCCACTACACAAACTAGAATAAACTGACAACCAGAAAAGCAACTATAAGCCGCATTTAGTCAGTTCACACAGCCAGAGTTTGATATTAAAGTTGGAACAAATCAGATTTTTGTCAACTACTTTGTTGGTCATTTCTTTAATTCACCATTTCCAGCCTCTCAAATGTGAATATTTGCTGCGTTTTTAAGTTTCCTGTGACGTCAAATGACAAATAATGAATCATCAATCTTCCCGATTATTTTGTAGACCAACTGATTAATTCAGAAAATAAACGTTTTAGATATTCGACAATGAAAAAAAACAAACTCAAATACTCTTCACTGGATTAATAGGAAGTGTACACATGCATCGGGTTTACGCTTCCACACAATGATTAAAGAATGCAATTGCAAATACAGCCATGCAAGGTAAACCTCAACTGCAGGGCTGAGAAATAAGCACAGCCACATGCTCTATTGTAGTCACACACAGATCTCTCAGACATGCAGGTATTCATGCGGAAACTACACAACAAACTCAGAATCAGTCCCGTTGGTCCTGGTAGCGGTTTGGTAAACCTGCATTCTTTACAGCATCCTGACCGGCTCAGCCTGAGCTGCTTAATCAAACATCAAAGTGTTGGCTGGCAAGTTGCAGCTCGCCGTGAGGAGACCTGCTGTGGCTTTGGACTGCAGGAATTATGACACTAAAGCGGGGCATGTGGTTAGGAACTTATTTATGCCTTTAAATTCTGTAGAAAGCACAGTTTGATACAGCAACAGGACCTTGGCACGAAGAAAAGAACTGAGCAGGTGCTTTGTCCGGTCAGCAAACATTTCAAGTGATTGCTTCTTTAAAAAGGGGATGTAGAAAAGCGCGACTTACCGAGTTCTGCAGGTTAATTAGAAACAAAAATCTGACTTCAGACTTTGCGTTGTAGTTTGATAACTTAAGATACAAATATTAGGTTTCTTTCTCTAAAACCAGCCAAAAAAAAGTTGTCTTTTCAGAAGGTACCCAGTATCGGTTTGGTTAAATATCTGGACATTTACTCTATAATAACTATTTAATGACACAAACACTAATGGAGCTAAACAAATACCTTCTGCACTTTTTTTTTTTTTTTTTTTAAACAGGGTGTAGTTAAGAAAATAACCAGCATTTCATGACTCATTAGAAGAGGACAAGGCTGTGGCCATTACAAGCATCTGTAGGCACGTCTCCTTGGATCAGTGCACGAGAGTCAGGCGCTCACTCGCCAGGTTACTCATCCATTCCTATGCCAAACCTTTCTGCCATTTGGCACCTTCATGCTTAGACTATGTGAGGCTGACTTGCCTGAGCCTGACCAGAAAAACCTGAATGTTAAAAATACTCCCCAGCTACACCAAAGCTATGAAAACATGTTGGAAGTTGGCGAGATCCAGATTCCAGACATGGAAAATTACAGGCCTTGAAACACTTCTCAGACCTAAAATTAAGTCGGAGAACTTTCCTCACTACATCGTATTCAAAAGAGGTTTGAAAAGGCTCCAGCGACATCCCATCGTTATCTCATGCAACGGTGGGACGTCGGTGGGAACGGTTGATTGTTTGAGAAGACAGAAGACTTTGTGACCCTGAAGTAAAGTGTGAGATGGTTTCCTCCACCGAAACTCTTCCTTGTGATCCGATAGTCAGCCCTCTCCGGTTCAAACTGCGCTTTGGGGGACACGACCCGTTATGAAAACTCCTGCACGCTGACCAAAAGCATCTTTTGAGAAAGGAAACTAGTGGTTAGACAGCCGTGGAGTCACCAGTATAATCAAAGCTTACGTTCAAATTTGACCTCTAACGGGGGGGTTCTACCTCCGTTTGTGCCAACTTTTATCAAACTATAAACAAACTTATCACCGCACTTCAGAGTCGCCTGGAAAATCTACCCTGGCTAGATATGACTCGCCCTTAAGAACAGAGGCGAGAGATGCAGTATTTCACCTGATATCCAAACATCCACAGGGCCAGTATTGCTGAACAGTGTCAACACATTTCCATCTTTTAAGTTCTAAATATTATTTTCCTCAAGGACAAAATTTATCTACAACAAAAAGAAACATTGGAAGTTGAATGTGCATCACAGCCTGGGTGGTGTATTACTTTGGTGTCCTTCTGCCAAGAACTAAAAGATTTGTCCACCGACTCTTGGCAGGAGAGACGGAGCCTGTGTGTACTTTCAGCCTCTGGCTTTGCACCACCGACCTTTCACAGTGTTCTTTTAATTCTTCGGGATGTGAACCCCCCGTACAGCAGGTGTGACTGCTCCAACGGCGAGTTCAGCTCCTGCTAAGGGCCCACGAGAGGTTCCGAACAGAAGAAGGTTAAAGACTCCTCCGTAGACGGACCAAATGTCCTCAGCCGAGACTTTTACAGCAGCCCTTGTGAACACACTGTAAAATGTGCCACCCTCCAATCTAAATAAAGACAAGAGGGAAAGCAGATCTCAAACAATCTATTTGACTCGGACAAACGGGTTTCATAGCTCAAACATTGTTTTTTGTCAATGCCACCTTCCCAAAAGCAAACCAAAGACAGCTTTCAAACAGTAGCTTATTTGCTCATGTGGGCTAAACCCAGCTCCACTCATTTAATGGCTTTTCTGCTCCAGGAGTCACTGGGCTCCAGGAGGAGATGGAGGGGGTTGGAGAGCTTTTTGGGCAAAGGATCTGGACAAAGCGAAGGCGAGCGGACATTCCTGCCTAACCAAAAGCAGAGAGCTGGATTTGGTAGGGTTCAGGGAGCAGACAGAGGGCACATGAAATCCCCATGCAGTCTGAGCAGCAGGAACACGGCACCTACAGATGTCAATCACTGCGACAAAGAAAACACGCTTTCTGGCTTTGCAAGACATCCAGACGCACAACACCTTTCCCTTTTCTGTTGCAACTTCAAAAAAAAAAAAAAAAAATGTTTAAAAGATCCGGAGGAGGACGGTTTGAAGGCTCTGAACACGCGTTGCTGAGTCAGACTGAGTTGTTTTGGAAAGTGTGGCATTCCTGGAGGAAAACAAAGCGCTGCCGAGCCTCAGAGGGGAAACCAGAGCCCGGTGATGAAGATGAAGCAGTCATGTTCAAAAGGAGTCACAGACACGATTCGTTTGGAAAGTTTAAACCACTCGGCTGTTAGTAGAATTACTCACTGAAAAACAAAATGAAGATCCTTGTAATGCCTTTAATCTGCGGTGCGAGTTTATTCAGACATTCAGCCTTTTTTAGCAGTTTTAACAAACTATATGCTTTTACAACATCTTGAGTCGAGCTAACAGTGACTTCTATAAAAGGTTGACAGGTTATATGTTCTAATTTGAGCTTCAAACTAACACAAATAGGAGCTCGCAGCGACTCACCGCACTCTGGCACGCGCAATCCAAAAATTTCGTTCCGTGGAACTCACTTCGCAAACTCAGACTGAACTCTGCTGGTAAAACAGCCGCCGGATGGCAAAACAACTCAACTGAGGTTTAACGGAGTAGAAGGAAGAAAGTAAACTGTCGCAATAAACTTCTCCTGCCGCAAAAAAAACCCCACACCAACCTTCTGCGTCCCAATCCGCGTGGCTTCTCTCTCCTCTCGCGCTTAATTGCTCGACCAGCTTTACCTAATTAGCGCGCGCTCTCATTGGCTTCTGCGTGCGTCCGCGTCCGAGGCAGTCGTTCAGTGGGAGCCCACGCAGCCCGCATTGACCCCATGTGTCGGGGTCCCGAACAAGAGGACAAAAGAACGATCTCTGATTCCCGCAGGCTCCTGCTCTCCTCCTCCTCCTCCTCCCCCCGCACCACCTCCACGTAACTCGGCCCCATTCAAGAAGAGGAGGCCCCTCGCCTGAAACCTGAGCTCCAAGACTACCGTTCTGCCCTCCCCGACAGAGCTATGGGAGTCCCTATTATACGTTGTATAATAAGATGATGCTATGCAAGTGTCACAGTGAAACCTCCGCTCTCCAAAGGGAGTTTAACGCAATTAAAAAGACACCACGGGGCACAGTGAAGCCTTCTGCTGCAGCTGTTATGCCTATACCTTCATTTAGCACATACTCATGCTACCAAATGGATTAAAGGACAACCATGTCTGCCTAAAACATATTAAAGTGTATTTTATGGACATGCATTCCTTATAAATACAGTGAAAAGTTGGTAAAGTTGATACAAAATGACAAACATTTTAATATCAGACCTCTCCTAATGCACCGAATAGCTGCCCTGCAATTAATTATATGGAGGTTATAATTCGTTTCCGTTTGTGGTGTTGATTCAGCATTTTGAGGCTGTTGACTGCAATATGTTGCTAATGTTGTGTTCAAAATTTCTCAAACAAAAGGTAAAGGAAAAAGCCCCCCTCCTTGTTCAGAGGAGAAGCATGCAGAGCAGAAGAGGCAGCCCCCCCTGCTCTCTTTCTTCCATCATTAAGCAGGGCCGAATCAGCTGGTTGAAGTTTAAATCACAAGGAATTTAATATACTAACAAAAGCAAATGCAAAGTCTCTGAAATGTCTCATATTACACATTCCTTAGCCCATCGATCAGCTCAGTGATTGGCTGAACCCTTTGGACTTCAGTCGGCCACTTCCTTGACCAATTCACCCCCCTTCTTGAAGGCTGTGCTCAGAAACTCTTCAGCAGCATCCCCCTCTCTCTGACTTTATGGCGGTGTCATAAATTCTTTGGTTTCTCTCACAGTGCACAACAAATTCAGTAACTCTCCCTTTAGTTTAAACCTTCTACAAGTAAACATATTGCAACACATAATATCCATCGCTGGGAACGCTTTAAAATTTAAATTCCTCACACTGATATGTACCCTCTGATATTAATTGGATGGACAAATGATTGGCTAACGGCATCCTCCCAAATGATCTGATGTATTTTCTACATGTGCTGATGTATAAAATGAGTGCACTGCCCCTTTAAACACTCCACCTGAGAAGATTTATGTTGTTAGAACAGTTTACATTCTTGTTGATAAAAAGTACACAGAGTGCCACAACAGCATAATCGAATCATTTGTCTTTCTGCTGACGACCCCGTGTTATCCACAAGGCCCTCAGTTTGGCAGCCCACCGGCCTGACAGAGCGCTGCGTGACTGGTAGCTTTTAGACGACGAGGCCCACCATCCAAGAATTTACTTGACTCGGGCGTTCAGCAAAACAACAGATTTCTTGCTGTCATGCATGGTGCAGCTGTATAGTGCTCCTGATCCACCAGAGGACCCAAAATGTTTTTTGGGGGGGAGGCTGTGGGAAGTCGAATCAGGCCAGATGTCTGCGCCCGGCCAAGTCTCCATGGCTGCATCCCAGCTCTCCTCCGTGCTTCTCACGTCTGATCCAAGTGAGGCACGAACTCAGTCACCTGCATCTTTTTATCCTCACATATTGACAGAGAAAAATAATGAATCTCCTGGTATCCTGCGGGAGTCCTTGTTTATTTTTGTGAGAATTAGCTTTGTCTATTCTGGCCCCCTGGTAGCCCTATTAAATACCACTGACTTATTGCAGTAGAGTGAAATGTGTGACAATTAGTGCTCCGGAGCTGAAAAAAAAGACTGAGATTATGCATTAAGCCAAAATGGAAATCTCTTGGGGCTCTACATTCCTCCCTCCACCCCTGCAGTGAATATATTAACTGCTTGAGTGAAGCCAGGACTCACTGGTACGGAGCACTTGTGATTTTTGCCCACCTGCACGGCCTAAAGCCCTTTTTCTTACCCAAAGTACAAATGTTGCGATCATGTTGTAGCATCTTACTCGATTGCTTATTTCCTCCACTAACATAAAACTTTGTGATATAAATTCATGGCGTGCAATTGTTATGACTCATGGATGTTTTGAGGCCGAGTTTCTGGGCTCATTAATTTGACCGTATTTTCGGCCAAAAACAAAAGGCAGCATGGAGCAGGCTGAGACTTTTACAGAAAATGAACAATCAACACATGGATAATAAAAAAATGAAATGCATGGCGTAATATGCATGCCATATTAGAAACAAAGTAGAATTAATGTACAACTTACTTCACCATTTACTCACTTTTTAAGTACCTGCCCTCTTTATTTTTATGTTAAACTACTTTTAGGCACTTGATCCCGAGCTTCACTCAAATAAAGAAAAGCAGACGGAGATACGAGACGAAGATAAACTAACTTATCTAGTCGAACAAATCAACCCTTCATAAACGCGCCTAAATGAAGGGAAGCTGCAGCTGTAACGCATGAGTTCCTAATATGAAAGCTTTGTCGATTTCTTTCCGCACATATCCTGTAATTCCTTTTGGATTCGTTCTCTGTGAACGGGCCTTCATGTGTCAACAGAAACCATAAACCTCCACTTTGCTTTCTGGAGGTTTTTTTTAGCAGCGAGCATCCTCACCGCAGTGTCTTCATCCACGTCAGCTCAGAGGGTGCTGTTCTGCACCTGACCTCTGACCTTCTTTTGCAGGGAAAGTGAAAAAGAGGCTCAACCACTAAGTGCTCTGTTGTTGTACTGTCTGAAATCAGATTAATGTGAAGAACATTAAAACCAGGCGGCAGAAGGAAGCGGGCGAGTCGTCGCCAGTCATTTGTGTTTTTGGGGGATCGGGGGTTTGTCGGCCACGTGGGTGCAATTGAAGGCGATCCAGGTCTCAAGCGTGTGCACAGCACATGTACATCACCGGTGGCTGAAGAAACATTTACACTGTGAAATTGGGTAAGGTACCTTTAAACACAGCTGAGCCTGGACTCGAACAGAGCTTTGCTTAAGGGGCGGGGGGGGGGGGGGGGGATTGGTGCCGAGTGGCAAAAAGAACGCTGTGTAAGCAAAAGGCCACAAGTTCGATCCAATAATCAAACATCCCTGAATTGTTCTGCATTCCTTCACTGGTGCCGCTTTTAACCGGCGCCAGAAACAATGTGATTAAGCTGACCCAATAAAGTAGAAGAGGCTGGTGAAGACAGCAGCTATTATTTAGCACCAATGAAGGATTGGAAGCGTGGGAGTTAAAGTGATGTCATTCACAAGTTTCTACAGGTTGATGTTTAACGTGTACACTGAAGAGAAGTCGCCCTGTTGAAAGCTGGATTTGTTGGATCAATGATTCAAAGGAAACTACAGAACTGAGACTTTCTGTGGCATCTTGTTTGCAGTTCAGTTCAAAAGGGACATTTATTCCACTCTGTACAAATACACGTGTAGTTATTCAAGTTTGGGAAAAAGAAGCCACACAAAAACACCCACAAACAAACACATTACTTTTATATTCACTTATACACGTCATACATCACGTTTTATACAAAAATAAAAGACTTGTTGCATTAACCCATATGAAAACAATGCTAACAAAGAAATAAATCAAATGAAACTGGTTAATCTAAATTAATTTAGATATTTACTGCATGATTATAATATTTACAGACGCATGGCAGTGGCTCCATACATAATGCACACTGCAGCAGAGGTTCTGTATTACATTTATATGAACAGAAGCAGTTAGTTAATACTCAGTAATGTAGTGCCACTGCACTTATGGAATGATGACGGTGCTTAACCAACATTTCTTCCACAGGTGATCAGAAAACACAAAAACAAACTCAGGTTACAAATTAATACAAACAAAAGGTTCCCAATTTGTAAAACACCTGCAACTGTTCATCTTCGACAAGTTAACAGAGTTTCTGCACATTTGCACTTCTGGTAACCTTTTCAGGTCACATACCACGGCACACAGACGCATCATAAGACCCTAATTGGGGAGTGAGGTGACCCCCGGTGACACCGTCTCGAGCCTCCGCTCCCGCCTCGTGTTGAGCGCGTGATGTCACAAGACGTTGCGCCCTAAGCAGCGAGGAAAGGCTCTGTCCAGCTTAATGAAGGGGGGGTGGACATATTCTAGGCTCCAAAAACTCCAAACTTAATGCCCTCTTAGCTCCCAAAACCCAAACCTGATCCGCATCAGTTGATTGAAGAACTCTACTTTAAGGTGCATTTCAACATCTGTGAAAGAATAAAAAGGCACACTTTATTGAAGGAGTGCAATCGTTTCCAAGTTGTTGGCCAAAAAGAAAGCCTAATGGGACCAGACTCGGTGCAGAGAGAAAATAAAGACGAACTCGCTCGCGCTCAATAAACATTTCCCAGTACCAACACGCAGACTCATGCACATAAAACTCACAGGAGTTGTTTTCATGCCACCCCCCCATCCTTTATGCTGCTTCGTGTTGCAGGCTCGTGTGCAGTTTCACTCCGAACATCGCCTCCCACTGTGCTCTGACCCAGGCCAGCAGACCCTGGAGGAGCTCGGCGCTCTCCGAGCGCACGCACCACGTCTTCTCCTGTTTCACCGTCTGCAGGAGAAACGATGTAATCACAAGTTGATCAACACATTCAAACTGAAACAGGCTGCTGCTGAATTTGCATGCATCAAAAGTGATATCACGGCTGTTAACCATTAAAAAAAATACACATGTTGCAAATAACAGTTCACATGAATGAATCAGAGTCGATCTAAGTAGTTTCAATGAAATAATCTTCAAGACGTTTTGCAATTTCATCAAAATAATACACGACGAGCAAATACAAAAGTGCAAATGACAACACAGTACAGTCCTCAAGAAATCCCCCCAAAAGCATTTGCAGACCAACCTCATCGTAAAGCTTGATATCCATCCTGCACTGGTCTGAAGGCCACAGGTTGACGGAGCTAACGCAGCTGATGGGGAGCGTTTCTAAAACGGTAAGGCTTCCGCTGTTGGGCTCTTGGTTTTCATTCACCCTCAGGCTGTTTGAGCTTTTCCTCCACTGGTGATCCTCTCGGAGCAGGTACAGGGTTTCCCGGGTTGCCAGGACGGTCAGCGGCATCCACATAACCTCTGAGAGGAGAACATGAGCCGTCTCACATTACTTAAACGGTGAAGGAAAGCCTTTTAGTCACTTCTTTTTCAATGATGACTGTAGTCATAAAGCTCATGAATCACAGACATAAAATGCTTAACAAAGATCAGTTTTGGTATAATATTTCATGTCAGAAAGCTCCGTCTTCAGTAGAGCAAGCAGAGTGGTAAAAGGCAGATCTAGGCACGCAAAAATGATTGCACTTGAAATTCCAACGCCGTGCACAGCCGTGTGTCGCCCGCAGCTACGTTGCCGTTATACGCGTCTGCTGTAGCACAGACAGTCAGGCATCCTGTAGCACCGGCGCAACATGCATTTAGTCGCCTGCCACTCCGTTCAGTCACGACAACTCTTTTTCTGTTACAGTTAACATGGAGCTTTAACAGGCGCCTCGCATCAGCTGCTGCACACCAATCACATCCTCCCTTTCATATTCTCCTCTTCTGCAGTAGATCGGGTTAATCCCCTTTGTTATTATTTCTACCATTTAGCATATATTTCCCGGCACTTAATTCTATGGTTGCAGGAACATTATGAGGGCTTTTACTCGTGGCTTTCTTCCAGCTGGTTGAAAGGAATGTTTACGATGCAGCTTATTCTACATTTTCCCCAGACTGTGAGCTAAAAGACTGAAATACAAACGAGAAATATCTTGAGTTGCCTTTACACATACAGAGCCCCACTGTAAATCCAGAAAAGATATCAGGAAGACAGCAGCGTTCAAAATAATTTGCATGACCAGCACTGATCTTTCAACCTTCAGACGCCATTACACACGACATGTTGAGTCCTGAAACCTCACAACTCTTGTACGTGGAACAGGTAGAAAACTCAGATGGAGGAATGCAGATGGGAGCCGAACCCTCTTACTGATATTAAAGAGATATGTGGAGAAGAATATAATGATCCTTACAGTTTAGGATGCACGATAAAGATTACAATGTAGGATTCATCTATTTGTCACCTTGCAGAACAAAAGCCAGAATGTAGAAAAACTGCAGCTGGCCGTCCTCCACATCTGCCTGGATGTCTTCACACACTAGAGGCCTAATGGATCAAAAGAAAGCAATACTATTACATCCACATTTATAAGCGCTGTAGAGTTAAAAGCACAGACACTGTTGGCTGACAGGTGCTGCCACGCTGTCTCGGATGGAAGCCCTTCTAGATCACGGGGTGAATTTCACAGCAACTGAAGCGGACGGGGATTATTGACACAATAATAGCCGACAGAGCTTGGATTGTGAAAACACTGGCGTGTGTGCGTGTTCTCCTGAGAGTGTGGAAGGGGCTGCTTTGATTTGACTTTTGAGCAGTTGAGTCTGTTGCCTGAGGACCAATGACAAATTGAGAGATTTGAGGTGTGTGTTGTGAGCGTTGGTACCTGGATATGCTAATCTACTCTTAATGACAAAGGCTGGTCTTGGTATATTTCCTCATCCAAACTAAAGGAAATTTGCTTTTTATTTAACCACTGCCAGTTGGATAAAGCACGTTTCCAGGTTGTCCAAACTTCTACAAAGGCACGGAGGAGGAGGAGGCAGGCCAGAGGAGCTATAAGCGAGGATACGCCGGCACATGTGACATATATAAGAGCAGCTGTGCTCCACGTCATATTAAATTGAAGGCTCCGATGTAAAGATGTCTCATTTTGTCAAATGTCTCGACTCCTCTGGGCGGGACTAAGACGCGAGAGGAGGCGAGGAAAGGAACCGAGGATGAACAAACGTGGAAATGTCTGTGTAACTGACATGTTTGATTATCCTCAGCACGTTTATTTTTGTTGTGCACATTTTGCACTTCTTCATGAGAAACACATTCTCATCTGAAATAACATTTTCAAAAAGATTCCTTCTCAGAGAAAGCTACCATCTCTACAAAGAGAGAGTTGTCGAAAAACAACTGGAGGTGATAGAAAACACCACATGACATGCATGATTCAGGGTTTCTAGCGCTACATGTGTTACAAATTAAGATGTGGTTTAACAGTTAATTTAGCGGTGCAGTTTTACAAAATAAAGCTGATTGTAATCAACTAAAGATGTGCAGCGCGACAACTCCCTTTAACTCACACCTCCCGACCACATACAAATGTGCAACACACTATTCAGACCACATCTTCCAGCATGTAAACAAATAAAATCAAAGATGTCTGCCATGTTCTCACTGCGTACCAGAGATGGTGCTGAGGGTTGAGCCTTGTGGTGGAGATGGACTTCAGCTGGCTGTCGGATTTGTGAGCCATCTCACGCACAACTCCTGAGGAAATAAGAGAAGAAGGAAAAAGATGGGGGAAGTACTTCTTGGATTTAAAAGTCAGTGATTTTTTCAGGGTAAACATTCATCAATGTGGCAAATGAAGGATTAAAAGTATCTTGTAAAGGGCAGAGAAAAGGTACAGTATAGCCTAAAGATGTCACACCCAAATATTCATGGACTAGAAAACACAAAAGCCAAACTCTTCAAATTCTTCTTCTGCTATTGTAACTACGGTAAGAAAGCCAAAAGGTCTCTCGTTGCAGGTATAACATGTCAGCCTCCATAGAATCAGTGGGTGAGAAAATGTCGGGAACACAATGTGCTGGGTCAGGCCCACATTCACGCATCGTAGCGTGTCATCGAGTGTGACAACAATGCAGGACAGAGAGGAGAACTGCGGTGTGGCTTCACAGTCAAAGTTTGAATGGAGCGGACTTCAGAAGGATTTAAAGGGACTCTGAAAGAGGGCAACACTGGGGACTGAAAATAAGATTAGATGACAAAACAAAACCTGCCGCATCAACATCCTTCTTATGAAGTAGGTGCGAGGAACAGGAAAATATAATTAGATATCATTTTCCCACGTGGGTCACATGTTTTTACAAAATGACACTCACATGCTCCCAGAGGGGTAGTCAGTGTAATACCTACAGTAGCCGGCAGTCGGCACAAGCCCATTATAGCTTCCTTGATTGGTTAGTTTATTTGTGTCACTGTGCAACTTTGGTGTTTTAAAAGGTTAGTTCAGATTTATCAAAGTCACACAACACCACAAACAAAAAGACTGAGGCAGCGGTAGACCAGCCTGTCGCTTTGAAGAGAACATGGATACCGCCTTTAGTCCCCGTGCAAAAGAGCCGTCTGACGACAAAGTGAAGAGGCAGAACATTTTTGCGTGTTGAGGAGAAACAGGGCAGAAGCTTAAATAGCGTGTTAACATGAAAAGTTTTATCGAGGTGCCATCCAAGATCGCAATCACAAGTAAGCAGAGGTGACGGGCCGAGCGTGTTCAGAACCAAGTTTGCGGCGGACAGACTTTGGCTGTTGCTCTGGTCTGCGTTAGACTTCCTGCTTCCTCCCGTTTCAGTCCCAGACTCCTTGGCTGCTGCCACCACCAACAATGCCCCTGATGATGTTCACATGAAATGAAATACCACGACACCGTTTGATGTGTCGGGCAGCACGAAAGAAGGCTGAGGTTTAGAGAACAGCTGAAGGTGCGTGTCACCCTAAACCATGTCTCATATAACTCAACATATAACAATGAAAGCTGACAAATTTCCCTCCTAAGTGAGCGAAAACAACAGAGGATCAGTAACTTTTTTTGTTTTTGTTTCTTTTGGCTGCAGAGTCCAGAGGCCTCGTGTTATCCCTAATGTTTCAGTAAAGTTGTGTCAGACTCGGTTTGGTTTCTGAGCTCCAAACGGTCCCAGTTATAACCACATCCCCTCTCTCTCTCCTCCAGCCAGCGAGCCCTCCGTCATTCCAGTTGTGGTTTTCATCTTTGTCCACAGGATGGGAGCCAGCTTGGACGATAGATGGGGTTTGTTATACTTCCTCCGACAGAATATTACAACAGCTGTTTTTGGAGTTAATTTGGCGACAGAAAAGAGAGTCGGTCATCTTTGTCTTCAAGGATCAAAGGAAATATAAACATTATATTCTTTGTGTGAAGGTGTTTGGCACTTAATTATCGTTTTGTGGGACGCACCTGAAAGCAAACCATTATTGGTGTTTTTCACTTATCAGCTCCGTCTTGGACAACCTCTGTCGTCTTGTTGAAAGCAATCTGGAATCATTTTCAGACAGGAAGAACACAACGCACGAAATGAGCTGTTTATGAATTTAGGCAGAAAGAAAAACCGCCCTCAAGAGGACAGACGGGAAAGCTAGAGAAAGAGTGAGAGAGATAAGAGAAAAAGCACGAGCAGGAAGAAGTGGGAGATGCATCTAAAATGTCTGTGGACCGTCAAGAGGATCAAATGTGACTCCAGGGATAGACGACATGCTTCTGGGTGTTCGATAAAAGCATCGTCTGTCGTGACAGTTGTCTGATGTTAAACATCACTTTTCATGTACGTCCAAAAACTCTTCTTGCTTGATTGTGTTTGAGCGAAAGCTGGACAGAAACCTCAGACAGCAGCTGGAGGCAGAGAGTTGTGGAAAAAGCGGGACTGCTCTTCTAATCAGTCTGTTTTTTTGCCTGTGTTCAGTATCTTGTACCCTGAAATTGGTAATATGGAACAGTAGTTAGGGGGGGGGGGGGGAGAGGGAATACTTTTACACGTCACACGTCGCTGAACAGCAATGCTTTTCTATAAGTTTTCCTGTTTTCTGCACACGTTTTAGAGGCTGGAGATTGTCAGATTCATTTTCCATATTTTTCCGGACATTCCAGTCCCGAGCAGGAGCCCCCCGTCTAATAAAAGGTTGCTAGTCCTCCCTTGCAGAAACGTTGGTCTGGGCAGGATGTACTCGCATGTGTCGCGTAGCACACATATGGTATAGTATTAGTTTGTGAGGGGAGTAGGTGGGCTTTCTGTGGCACAATGCCTGTGAGAGGGACATGCTGTTCTAATATCTGCTTCAGGGATTCAACGGTACTCTACAGCTTTTTAATGAATCTAAATTAGGTTTATATTGCAGCATCTTCCTTCAGACCGCCCCGAGGAAAGTGCTGAAAACCAATAAGAGTAAGTAAAGAGCAGGATCAGCGACTTCCTCTCTCCGACTATATTCAAAAACTTCCTTTTATACATTTTTCCATACATTAAAACAGAAACCATTCTCCACTTTGCTTGTATTCGAGTTTCCTTTTACCTGTCAAGAGGCCAAAGAAGCGTTTGCAGCGTGAACTGTCCCTCACGAGGAGGGTGTAGGCCACTCCCCCAAACTCCATGTGGATGCTCTGAGAGGCCAGTCCCACTTCCAGGTAGCTGAGCTCCATGATTGGGTGGCTGTCCCGCTTCTGCAGCCAATCGGAGAGCTGGCCTCTGCTGGGAGGAAGCGACGTTAGGCATCAGAAAGTGCAGCAAACGTACCGCTGCAGTGAGATGGATTAATCTCTGACACTTCGGAACAACACTTTATTGTGTTTGTTGAAGCCAAAGTTTACTTTTACAGTTTATATATTCCCTGCATTTTTCACAGATTAAGTTATACGGTTTGAATAATCGTTTGGCTTCTTGCACAGCGCCATGAACGAGAGAAGTCACTACCTATGGTTAAGAATCACAGTAGCTCTGTAGTAATGTTGCCACAGCCATCGCAGCATGAGCTCATGGCGAAAAGACTCCACGGTCTGCAGACACTGCGAGGTCAATGTGTTCTCAAGATGTGACCCAGAAACCTGCGTAGGTTTTGCAATATAATCCACATACCTAACGGAGAGGGTGTGGAATTACACACCAGCATTAAAAGTAATAGTTGTTGACTGCAGAGTGGCGCCCTCTTTTGAATCGCTGTCCACTTCAGCAGGATTTGATTACATTTGAATGTGTCGCATCAATATGTCCCCGACTTGAAACTTCCAAGATATCGTTATGAGTCCTACTTAAGCATGGATTTTTTTGTCATGCAGACAATACATCCATAATTAATCCCAAAAACATATAATACTGCAAGAATGCAAGTAACTGCAGTGTGAGCAACTCAATTACCTAATTTCTCATACTGAGGAAGTATTTTCTTTATCATGTAAAAGTGCTCTACTCACTGGGTTTCCGACATCATTTCCAAGAAATAGATTCGCTGGTTTGACACCACCAACAGAGAGGGAACCTGCCCTGGCTCCCCAAATTTGACAGATGACATCTGAAGGCACAGAGAAAGAGAAACATGACGTAAAGCAGGTGAATGTGTGTTGTCTTTAATGGACAACCTGGTTCCAGCTGTGGTTTGCTTGGTCCTGTTCCGCTCTTTGCTCCTCGTCCAGGTGTCTGACAGAGAAAAAGCAATAGCCTGCTGATTTGAAGAGCTCCCAGGATGCAATGCATATTAAAGAGTGACAGCAGGGGGGCATGAAATTCGTCAGAAAGAAGAAGATCGTGTGTTGAATGAGCTCAGGGCAGATTTACTGACTGCGTTCATCTTCGCCGACTGCGGTGAAACCGCAGCTGAAGTGTTGCAGGTCTTGAAGCTGTCACCACCGATTCAGCTGGAATCTTTTTGGCCATCAGTGAGATACGCGAGAGGGCTTGTTTTTTTTTTTTAAAACCGCGACCATAAAAGAAACAACAGCCACATAAAAACTTTACACTGCTACATTTGTGCGATCAGTCACAGGCCTCCATCACTGGCAAAACTCAGCAGAGTGAGAGCCAACAATACTGTTTCCTGCCTTAATGTGAGCTCCACTGAAAATTAAGACCCCGAAAACCTATTTGCTCAATCTGCTTCTTATTGTGAGCAACGGAGTCCTACATGAAAATATTATTTCCTGCCAAAGTCAGAAAAGTTTTGGTTATTTTGCGTGACAGATTTCTGAATTTCTGCTTGTTGCATAACAAGGCAGGGCTCAGCTGGATAAAAGGGGATGCCACATGTTCCCATGCACCAATCAGAGTTTAGCAACATCTTTAAACACAATGTGAAGACAGTTATGAGGTGGATTACGTTGCCAGTCAGTCAAACCTGATCCAACCACACCCACCGAGAGTTTTTAAGCGTTAAACTTAATAAATAATCCCTAAAGTTGTTTTGTGTTTTTGACATTATGGACAAAACAGAATCTACTCCACTCTCACGTTAAATTTAAATATACAGCCGACAGCTAGTTAGCTTAGCACAAAGACTGGAAACAGAGGGAAACAGCTAGCCTGACGGAAAACACAACCCCAATAAATAAGGTTTCCATTCATGAAACTTTCTCATCTCTTGTTAAAAATATGTAAATAAATAATCTTCTATTGCTTACGTAGCCATGAATATATAATGTCATAGATTTATACTGAAAGGGGCTTTAATATGTGCTTGGCTCACTCATACACACCTTAAGAAAAGAGTGAAGCTCCTCCTCCTCCTCCTCAAAGACTTCCACATCCAGGAAAAGCTGCAGCCGATGGTCCACTGCCTCATAGTCCTCCGACAGCAGGTCCAAATCATCTGCAGACACATAAACAGTTTGTAAGCCTCAGAATTGTTGGGTCTAACGTGAAGTCCAAACTGAAGATGGTGTTGATAGCAGTTAAAGCTAACACCCATCATTATTAACGCTTGCATATTTCAGCACAAACGGAAAAGAAACCGTCATGAATTCGGGCTGAAATACAGCTCAATGAAAACATCTTTGTTGTCTCCATTTTTTCCTTCCCTCAAATTATATCTTGCATTAAAAGTGAAGTTCCTGGCAGTGATGCAAAGACTCACATACTTCTTGGCTCTTGTGAAACCTTCCCTAGATTTTTACTGCAGCAGCCTGTAGCATTAGCCAACAGCCCTCGGGCAGAAAACACATTTAAGAGCAATAAATCCAGCAATGGAGGTTATTTGAAAATTGATGAACGCTCACAACTAATCAAGAACGACAGGGCGCCGACCTGCAGAGGCCAAAAGAAACCCGACGTTTTAATTTAATAAATCTGCGCACGCACGCACGCATGCACACACGCACGCACACACACACACACCTCGAGAGACAAAGCACTTCTTCAGCAAGGATAAAATTAGGCCTCTGCTCCACAACAACGGGCGCACTGTGCCACCAAAAGATACTACATTGAGTATCAGTCGGTGCTTTAGGACGAGTAGTGTCTCCAGTGTGAGACTGTGGTTTAGAAGGACAGATGACATGATGTTGGCACAGCAACTACAGCACTACAGAAACCCATTATTACTCGAGTCTTATGCCTTCATTCCTCTCCCATCACTTCCAGTAATGATTCCAATCCGTCTCGTCGCACCATGCGGTTCATCTAAAAATGGCAGACAGATGTGGGGGAAAATCAGATGCCGTCAGAGATACAGAGTGCCTCCAAGGATTTCTTTGCCACACAATATTCGCGAGATCCGAATACTTCCCCTCTCTGTTCACTTTCAATTAAGACTCAAATGTATCTTTAGTGAAAGGCAATGGAGCTGACGTAAACAGTTTATACCGTATGCCACAGTTGATGAGCCTTACCACTGACCATATGAACTGCAGAATTCAAATCAAGTAATAAAATATTTATATTGTCCGGCTGTTTGGGCTTTCCTCCAACAAGCAGTGCTGCCAACATCGCAGTGTTATTGTGGATGTAAAAGATCTACGGCTGACATGATTTGTCCATTTAAGGGAATCCATTAACTGTTTCAGTGTGTTCCAGCTTTTAAAAAAATGGGAGGATTTGGTTTTATTTCAGTGACAATAAAAGAAGTCTTTGGACTTTTGGTCAATCTTGAAGAAGTCAGTTTTGGCTCTGAGACACTGCCTGCTTTCCAAATCGTGTACTTTTACTGCAGCTGCCCTTACAAAGTACGCACTGTTGCCTTCTGTATGTATACAATTGGGACACACGACTCATCTATCTGTGATGTCTCAGCGGCTCGGTTGCGGTGACGAATCTTCCGCTGCGCAGAGGATTATGGGTCGGAGTAGCCAGAAAAGGATGCTTGTTTGCAAAATTGTTAATACCATTTACTGCCTATTTTTGAGGGGACTGAATTCCTCAGACCCTGCAAAAAGTGCAGACAGAGTAAAAACCCACCATTCGGGGTGGATCTGCCTGCAGGTGGGCCGTGGGCTTCCGGTGGTGTACCCGTAGCGGTGTAGCGGTAGCTCCCAGCCAGATCCTCTTTACTTTGGTACTCGGTGCTGTAGGAGAGACTGGAGGTATCGGCCTGATCATTCCGGATGAAGAAGGAGCTTCCCTGAGCAGTGACGAAGGTGGGGTCTTCTGAAGCCGTGGCAGCTTCGAGGACAGGACTACTGCGAATACTGCTGTCTGAGTACTCATCCTGCTGTGATAAAGATGACACACAGAAATGATGAGAATAAACTACAGCAAAAGAGAAACCAGAGAGAGGGGGAAATGATCAGAAAAGACCTTATTGGTACGCCGAGTGCTCTGGTTTACATCGAGATGGTCGTCCTCTCTCTCCGGGATTGGTGAGCGCTGGATGGGCGTTGATTGGCCAGCCAGCTGGACCACATGATCGCTACCACATTCTGGACAGATAGGACTGTCTCCTGACAAAAAAATAGGATGTTGTTGCCAAAAAGATTCATACTAGTGTTGCTTAAAACATCTAAATTGCTTACAACGAATAAGAGGTGCTCCCTTGTGGCCTTAAAATGGTTATTGCGATGAAATCCATTGATTTTGTCATCAATGGAGGAAAGTTACTTGCCAGTCTTTAAAGAAATGAACATGGTAAATAAAATGATAATGACAACCAAATGATGGACAGGAAACATGCACGCCTTCCTTCCTAACAAGTTTCATATGAGGGAGAAACATTTGTTTGTATCTGCAGGGCATGTATCACTGAAAGCCACACGCAAACAAAAGCCTCAGTTCAGACGCGTGCGAATGAAGAAGGTATTCATTGCCTGAAACACTAACAACGGAGCACAGATCCAACAAATCCTCAAAACATCTGCCGAACAAAGCATGCGCGCGGTCTGTGCATGCTGGAGCAGGTCCTAATGTTGGGTTTGGCCGAAGCGCTGGGAGGCGGCTGCTGGAGCGAAGGGTATTATCTACATGCTGCTAACTTTAGAGGTGGGAACTCAGCGGAACGGCCCGCCTGGCAATGAAAGATGAGAGAACTCCTGGGATGATGCACTCGGCCCTGAGCCGACTACCAACGTGTTCCTGATAGTTGAGGAGTAGTCAGGAAGTGCTTTGTAATGTGTGACCTTCTCTTTTCTGTCTTATCTCAGATTATCAACAACACACCCGGCTGACACTGAAAGCTGTTTTTAGTGGGGACAAACAAAAATGCATTTTTTTGGGGATAGTGTAGAGTTTGTGAGGCTGAGCGTGACTCGGTATGAGGGCTGAATCACCTATGAGCTGAGCTTTCAGGGCATTCTATTGTCAAATATTTGTTCAGTCTTCTCTACTTTTTTATGGATTTCCCTCTATTTGACGAAGCTTTTGTACATCTGGTCAGTGACAACAGATCAAAAGCTGTGTACCGTCTTGTATTTGTTGATTTGTTGCTCTGCCCATGTAAACTTTGTAAATGCTTTTAACATCTTGCCAAAGTCTACAGATGCAAATTTTGTTTTTCTGCTGATCAATAGGCACCGACTCCACCGAATAAACATACCGAACGAAAACAAAGAAAGGAAACCAAAAATTGCAGCCAGCTTTCACAAATTTGAAATGACCTGAACAACGCAAGTATTTAAAAAAAACATAATTTGTGTAAGTGCTGCTTGAAGGCTAATGTCAACACCGATCATCACTCTCACCTTTGGCGTCTTCATTATACTCCCTCAGCTCCTCCTCATCCTGTTCATCCACACCTTCTGGAAGCAAGGCAGCCCCTCTCCTCCTCGCTCCCCCCCCCGCCTCCTCCTCCTTCAGCATGAACTCTGACCTGCAGCGAAGGCACTGCAGGCGAACACAGCTGGGTCGCAGCTCAGAGTGGCGCCGCTGGTTCTCCTCCGCAACATGAGTCAGCACGTCAGTCAGAGCCTAGTCAGCAAAAAAAGTAATGTTTTTTGTTATAGTTTTGTTTGACACAGAGCGTTATAAAACAGTCGAGAGCACACAAAACAAGTTGACTTATTCGGCTGTCCACAGCTAACTATTTTGGTCTTAAATAAGCTTTCTCTGGTGAGTATAAAATAAACAGAAAGCTATTTGCATGTTCAAAACTTTGCAGCCTAAAAAATAGAAACTGTAGGAGCTTCACAGAGGGCTGAAACTCAGTCAGGGATAGTTTGAGGAATAAATCATATCTGGTACTGTAGGCCTTAATGAGCAGCTACGGGTCAGTTGATAGTGTTTGTTGGGGTTTTAGACTTCTCACTCGAGCTACGCGTCTGGTTATAAAACATAATTCAAGTCCCTGAATGCTCAATCTGAAGACATACTGGAATGTGTATTGGCTCTCTGTGTTAAAACTATATCCGGCACAGATTTTAAGTTGCACAACGTGAAAGGACAAAAGTCAAATGTAGTAAATATAGTACAGAGTGTGCTGCTCGGTGCTGACGTCACATTTGAAAAACAAAAACAGGTCACATAGTTTGAGGCAGCCTGTGAGCATGATCAGACTGGTACCGGATGCAGTGGGTGGGTGTTGTTCTCATGTAGGTGCTTTGCTTCACCTTGTATGTGGTGCAATCCCTGTACGAGTGTGCGTAGATGAACATCTCTGGGTTAAAGGTCTAAACTCTGAACAAGTTGTCAAATGTCTCTCCTGAAAGGAATGAATAACAGAAGGACTCAGGGGAGCGTGTGTCATTAACCTGCAGTGCTTGTTGTGGGTCGTCATCGAGCAGGACGTAGAGTCGCCTCCTTTTCTCTCGGCTGATATAGTCGAACTGAAGCTCCACAGCTGGAAGCATCTCTTCTCTCTCCTGAGAGAGAGAGAGACAAAATCAATATGGTTGAAATCAAGATCACAATAAACAATGTTTATTTAGCAATGTTTAACATGCAACCTAAGCAACATAGTGAGGAGGAAACCCATTTTAGTCTTCTTCATTCAAATAGTGATGGATTAAAAAGAAATCTCTTAAACCCCAGGGGACAGCTGCAGAAAAACACCTTAAGTCGTCTCCTAAAGTTTGACACTTTGTGCAACAAATATTGTTTTAAGGAAACCTTAACTCGGACTTGAAGGAAAATCTTAACTTAAGGTGTTCTGTGCAACCAGCCCCAGAACCTCCCAAGTACTTCCCCCATCCTTCCATCTCTTTCTCCAACCCTCCTGTCCTCCTCTCACCCCTCGGGTCCAGGCAGCCTCTGTGCTCTCTACCCGAGCCAGGCTGCCAAGCTCCAGGCGGCATCTCTCCCGGCCGCGCTGCATGTCCACCTCCAGCACCAGGCCCTGTTTGATGCGCAGGAATACCTCCCTCCTCTTCGTCCCGCTCTCCCCCCGTCCCTCGTCATCTTCTACCTCTTTGTCAGATAAGACACCCACAAGTAGGGGGTGACACAGGTCCACTAACAACAAAAAAGAGAAGAGAACCGTGAGATCCTTTCTGTGTCTCTCTGTGTTGTCATTATACAGATTTTTTAACCTTACCTCCCAGATCCTCCTCCTCCTCCTCCTCCTCCTCCTCCTCCTCCTCCTCCTCCTCGGTGTCTCCACTCTCTCCTCCAGCCGATATTTGGGACTCTGGACTGGGCCCAGGTGAGCTCTTCACTACCTGATTCACCACCAGGCCATCCACCGTGCTGTCCTCCAAGGTGGACCGTGAGCTCTGGCCGGGCCACTGTAGGGTAGACTCTGTCTCCTGGTCTGCATCCGTGGATGTCTCCAATCTGGGCTCAGATGGAAGCAGCGGTGGAGGGAGCACCTCTGGGACTTCCAGGGACGGTGGAGACGGCTGATGCCCAGGGCTGGTGGACAGACATGTGGTGGCGTTGAGGCCGTTGGGGAGGGGTTGACCATGAGGAGGTAGCTGGTTTGTGTTGATGGTGGAGGGGGAAGACCCATCGAGATGATGTTGGTACCTCAGCCAATCCTCTCCTATCTGGTCTCTGAAGCTGGACATGCGCTCGATCTCCTGCTGGTGGGGGAGGACAATGCCTAGTGGAGGAACAACATATTCACATTCATGTTTTAAATATGAGCCTTGATCACCAACATCAGATGCAGCTAGTAGTGGAAAACATGGATAAAACTATAAAAGTCAGCAAGAGAAGGAGGTGAATTTAGATATTTAGGCAGACATGCTTTTAAAACCCACTCTGTGAGGAGGAACGCAGCTTGGGCTCATAGTCGGTGTCACTGGGCTCGGATATGCTGGCCCTCCGCACTCTCACCTTACTCTGAAACACAAAAATGAGTCACAGTATTCAGTTTGTCAGTGTTTACCAGTCTAGATAGATCAATAAAGAGTTCAAATCCTCATAAAACTTAAGTGACTTAAACAGAGAATCAAGACTACACTTATGAGCAGCTCTCTCACCTTGGCTTTCTTCTTCCGGATGTGCGAGACTCCCACTTTTCCGACCGACATGCTGTCACTCAGCTCCCCAGCACCGCTGGACACATCCTGGTTGCTCCGTTCCGCTGACATGGCTACTGGAGGTGCAGGCTGCACCTGGACGATCAGCCGGCCTTGTTTTAGCAGAACCTGCAGAAGAGATCATTTAGCCATACAATTTACACATTTAGATTATATTTATTTACCCAGTTTGCTACACTGGGATTAGCATGAATTGATTGAGAAACTTACTGATAACTCAGACGAGGACAGCGAGGAACCGTCAAGTTTGAGCTGGAAAAAAAGAAAAAGAAAACGTCAAAAAGTGATCTTTACTCGATCGACAGAAAGATAATCACCAACTATCGTGATAAAAAATGATTAGTTAAAGTAATTTTTCATCCAAAAATTGCTGTTTTCCGCCTCTCAAACATATAGATTTCCATTTTTCCTGTTCCATTTCATATTAAACTGAATATCAGTGATATTTAAAAACATGACCTTTGACTTTTAGAAACTGGGATGGACATTTTCTGACATTTTATAGACCAAAGATTAATCGATTAATCTAGAAAGTAACAGTCAGGTTCATTGGTAATGAAAATTGTATTATATTTGTTTGTGCTTCAGCATTCTTCAAGTTTGAAAAATGGTATAAACTTGTAGCTAGAATGGTTACTCACTCTGAGGTTTGCAGCCTTTGGGGAGAGATGTCGGACGGTGCAGGTACGGTGGGTCTTCTGGAAGTACAGCGGGTTGCCCTCCAGGTTAAGCTAAAAGAAGATACATTATTACATACGACACCATCAAAATATAACTCCTAACATACTGAACAAGATGTCAAAGAGAGATGGGACCTGATTACTTCTAGCAGTGTAAATTAATAAAAAGGTTTTGAGGCATAATTTCTGAAGAACTGAGTGGTATCTTTGTGTTCAGGGTTAAGAGAGAGGTGAGGGAGGGGGGCAGTCAGCTGTGAGTTTCCTCTGTTAAAAATGGACAGATGGCACTTTTTGTCTCATTTCTATTTGTGTGCCATCGATATGCTGAAAGGTTTGACTCTAGTTTCTGCTGAAAACAAGTGAAATTCAGCTTAAAACAAAAAAGTATTCATCCGACTGCGAGTTGGGTATAAGAAAATCAATGTGTCGACAAATGATATGTGTGTGCATGTGTTTCCATACCGTGTTGAGGCAGTGCAGCAGGGAGAGAGGAGCCAGCTGAGAGTGCTCCAACAGAAGGTTGTAGGCCAGGTCTAAGTGCTGGAGTGAAGACAGCTGCTCCACACCTGTTCAATCAGACAGCAAAGCAACGCAGGGACAGACCGTCAGAGACACAAGTATGCAGTGACACAAGAGGAACCTGCAGCTCAAATGTCTAGTTTAATTCTCCTCTTACATCCAAAAAGACAAAATAATCTGATTCTTCCCTGTGTGATGAGCAACAACAATCCAAGACAAACAGCTGGAGGTGGGGGTCACTACACAGCGATCAGCTTCCTGTTTTTCACGTTTCTCTGCGATTATTGGCTGACTTGTCTGATCTGACTGTGTGTGTTTAAAAAACGATATGAGACTGTCTTCATCACAGTCGACTTTACCGTTAATGGTCTCCAGTTCATTGTTTCTGAGGATGAGTGAGAGGAGTTTGGCCCTGGCACTCAGGCGCAGCGTTGGCGCCCTCTGCAGGCAGTTGTAGCCCAGGTTCAAGTGTTCCAGTTCACTCAAGGGCTGAGAAAAAGCAATGAGGAAATAAGATATCGCCCCGAGCCAAACAAGGTGTTGTCACATACAGGAAATATATGTATATATATGAAGTTGAATTATAATTAAACAAATAGAAACCTTTAGAAATTCAGCACACTCCTGAATCTTGTTATGGCTTAAATCTAAGGACTTCAGGACATTCAGTAAACTCTATCAAAGAAAGAGACGGTTGAAGTCAGGTGAAGATAAAATCAGCCAATAAGTCGGTAACAATGCATCCGTGTGTATTTGTCTCACTAGTGACTGGTCAAGGCAAACAATGGAGTTGTAGCTAAAGTTCAGCGTGTGCAGTTCCAGCCAAGGCAGTGCTGAGCTCAGGTCACCTCCACACAGGGAAAGTAGCTCCTAAAGAAACAGACACCCATATATCATTTCAAATTTGACTTTTGTTACAGCCAGACATGGCCTAAATACCATCAGTGACACTTGCTGATAGATATACTGCACATTGACAGTACCTCCAGGGAGTTGAGGCTCTTTGAACATGTGAAGACCTCCAACTGGGAGTAAACTCCTCTGAGTCCTTCCAGACAGTGTGGAGGGACTCGCTTCAGCTGGAGAGGAAGAGAACAGAAAGGAAACATTAAATGTGTTCATGACAGATAGAGTGAGAGGTTAAGTGAATTATGGTTCATACTCTACCTCCAAATATTTTAAAGACTTGAATGGGAAGATTTTCACCACGGAGTGAAGTCTCATTCCTGGCGGGTTGATGAGCTGCGTTTTAACAATAAAGACACACAACACAGGAATACAGGTAAACAGATATGTAAGCAACCGTCTCTAACAAACAAACAAACTTCCTTTCAATGGTAAGAAATGAATGAGGGCTCTGTTTATAAGTTCATAAAATAAAGACATTTCTTTCCATTTTCAACACGTAAGAGAAAATAGTGACCACAGCGCATCAATAAAGTACTACAGACACAACATCATACAAACATTAAATTGTCTTTCGGGAGTTTTCGACGAGGCTTTTACCATGTCAGCAAGACTTAAATATACAAATGTCCACTTGGGGAACTTTGGAAAGAGCTTTTTCCCATAGAACCGACATTTTTTTAATGGTTAAAAACAGGTCACGTGGAGACCACCAGTCCTCATTTCAGAGACCCCAGCTCACCTTGAGGGAGATGGTCTTCTGCAGGACGTCAAACAGGAACTGCAGCTGCAGCAGTGAAGCAGTGTCGGCAGGGTGGGAGGGCAACGCCAGGAAGCCGTGCTGCTGGCTCCTGGACAGCAAGTGCTGCTCAAACAGCCTGGTGAGCTGCTGCAGGCTGGCCGCCGACAAGGTCAGCGTGCTGGTGCCGTCCAGCACCAAGTCGCCTGGAGTTTGGGAGGGAAGAGTCATTTAACTCTTAGGAATCCAATTTCAATCCCCAGCAAGTGTTATTCTTAAATAACATGATTAAACTGAGTGTTGTCTAATACAAACCTGGTGGACAGGTGACATGTGAAGAAAAACTCTGTGCTGACAGAGTGTGTGTGTGTGTGTGTGTGTGTGTTTTGCATAAACTACAAGATAACTCAACAATGTGAAACCCACTCGGAACTAATTGTATTTCCTTAAGTGCTGAATATATTCTTATTATTTCTGTCTGTGAAGCCTGATTTTTGTATACCTAATGTTTAAATGAATAAAAATGTAAAAGACAAACAAAAGAAACACTGGAAATCTGGAGAGTCTGTAGCTCTTATTGTCTTAATAAGTACCTGTTTGAGTGAATACACCTGCTATTGTTTTGGTTGAATTATGCATTAACTGTCACACTGTAACATACCATCATTTCTGAGGAGTGTTGCCAAGCTGTGTACAAGGGACGACTGGCCACTTTGAGGTACAGCCATCCTGAAACAAGGGATGGTGTTAGCACAATATTCTTCATCTGTCAGTGCGTTTATTGCAACGTTGGCTCGCATTAACATTGAAAACACCACTAGCTGCAGCTAACGTTAGCTCAGCTAAACTAGCTAACCGACTTCCGGGTAGAGAAAACGACATACCTGTGCAGTGACAGCCAAATAGTAGACAGTTGACATGAAGTGTTACTTCGAGAAGGCAGCTCTAAAACGTGTTCATTTTTGTGTGTGAGAAAAAACAACGTCTAAGTGGTTGTTTGTTTGTTTCGTAGTGCAGTGTACGGGATGTTGACATTTTTTTCGTCACATGACGACTTGCCTAATGCGCCTACGGTGGCCCCGATGTACCATTAGGATAGCAACTCAAAATAAGTCGAAACATCTCCCCTCTCTATGATGTCAACTGTCACATACACACAACAAATGACAGTGTTTAGTTTGTTTGCTGTTGCCTCTAATTAGACCTTTATAACCTACTGCTTTAAATTCACAAAGAGAAGAAACTAGTCTATGTAAACTCAAAAAGAAGACATCAGTGTCGACCCCGCCTCCTGACTCAACAAAACTGCTTGACAAATGTTGTAATGTTACAACTATAATATTCACATTCAAATGTAACCGAATGCATTCTCAAAATAACACTAAATGAGTAGATTTCTGTGCTGCTTTTTCAGTGGGTTGCTCTTGCTTAATTACTGCAGGTGGCCACTAGGTGACGCACTTTAGCAAGGATCCCAGACTTCACAATACAGACGTGATGTAGTGCAAATGAAAACGTCAAATGAAGTCCTCCCTACGACCAGGAAATCCTTCCAACCGTATTATGTTAGAAAAGTGAGCATCTGCAACATGCATGAAAGGTTCACATCACAGTGTTTTGTTATTTTATGCAGCCTGACGCAAACATTAGATCTTTGTTTCAACCTTAAAGCCAAACACAGCATTTCAGATGTTGAATGTATGGACTCAACAGGGGCCAATACTACACCTTTTGCAGCTCAGAGCGTTTAAGACCCAAGCAGGAAAACGCAGGCTTCGTGGTTTTAATAAATGCCAGCAGTCAAAATTTACCAACTTGAGTCTAATACCACACCTGCCTGTTGGCAGCTGTTGGTCAAACCATATCCGAGTCATGGCACCAATAAAAAACAGAGCTGGGTAACTGGTTGGCCAAGGAGAGTGAGTGTAATTAATGCTTGGTTTGCATGGCTGAAGAAACTGCACTGACTTCTGAATAAAGCAGATGTAACCGAGTCTAAAACACCTTGTTTCTGTTTCGTGTAAGCTTTAGTAGAAAGACTGTAAATGCCTGTTAGGTGCTACTGCTTAGAAGAAGAAGGTATCAACTTTGTTACAGGAAAAACTGTAATGTCTATGAATAGTGTAATGCTGACATCAGCATATAACCAGGCTGAGAGCTTCAACTTCTGGACCGTAAACCCACACATTAACTCAACACATTAGCAGTGCTTCGTTGGGGGATACGTAACGCTGTGGCACCATAACAGATACTTCAACAAAGATTTGCATGAGCAAATAAAGCAAGAACTTTCCTAATTTGAACATGCATCACTTGTTGCTAGGCGGCAAACAAACACACTTACACTTGGGCACACGCACACACACACACATAAAAAACACACGCACACACATAAGCATTTTTCCATTTGGGGCTTGTGATGCGAACATTTCCATGTAAGGATTTATGTACTGCAATTTGGTAAACATTTCCATTCAGTGAGATGTTGCACATTGCACCAGGTGGTTAAGTGTGCATGAAGCTAGTTTGACAATTTTCTTACCCATATGACCTCTTACAGTAGGCCTATTGCGTTCAAATAAAATACTTTTACAACATTTTAGTTGAAGATATAAACACATAATCCAGCTGTTTAGATGCTGTACGTTTGACTTAATTTCATGCAGGCACACTAATCCGATGATGAATTACTTTTCAACCCCTCGACTCATTGCCTCTAGTTATCCAATCAGTAGTCCAAGCAAAGGGAGCCTTAATTAAGTATAATCAAAGCCAAACACTGAACAGTGCACTCATTCATTATCAAAGCCTGAAAAATGAACATGGGGATGTCTTTAGGGACCTGTTTGGGTTGATAAGAACCAAGTATAGAGCCAAAATTACACTAACACTACACTTTTGTGTTTGCTTTAGGAATATGCATTTAGGATTTAGAGACAGGTGTGAAATTATTGGCTTAAGCTTTGCATCACACGTTAAATAGGTTTCCAGGACACGACAGTCTTTGCAGCATTCTTACTTACAAACAGGCTGCAGCCATTGTTGCAGCCGTCTTCCAGAAGGCCTGCCGAGAGGCTGCAGCTCAAAATTAGGCCGGGTGAAGTGCAGCATTACCATCTTTAATCGCCGAGTTAGCAGTTTATGTCACCACTCGATCGATTAGGATTCAAACATTTGGCCTATTCAGAGAGGTGGCTGAGGCAGAATATCAAAGCTAGGAGTGAAACTTACGAATGTTTCCGGTTAGATATTCATTTAGTGTAGGCGCTAAAAAAATGCTAATGAGCATCAGCCTGTGCGAATTACATCATATCATTGATAAATGAATGCTGTGTATGACTTCATCTGAACAACTCCTTTTTATTATTTATGAGTAACTTATAGATAATGTATAACCCACATCATTTGTAAACAGATTTAAAGACATTTTTAAGTGTCTATTAATGTGTTTGTCAGCAGCTATAACTCATCATGAAGCATCCATTACTGCTGTGTAATGAATACTTGACAACAACTAGTTGTGATCATACATAAAGGAAAAATGTTGCGATTTGGTTAAAAGGCCGGGCAGAGTTTTGGGGACTTGCTGTTCTCTGGTTAAGAAGATGAGCCTGGCTTATAAACCGCTCTCTGTATACTTACTGTATGTGCCCTCAGCACATCAGTGATGCCATACCTTCCTCTATCAATGTGGAGTTTATCCAGAGGTTGTTTTTACAGTTCCATGGGGAGGAATTTAAGTAACTGACCTTGGTGGGGATTACTTTGCACACATGGGCAGATACTGCGGCCTCTTAGGCCTATTAGCTAGTGGCCATCCTGCTGCTTTTCCACCCATGGTTTTATAAAATGACATATGAGGTTCTATGTGCAAACAGCCCTCTGGGCATCCTCCTGACTCACACCCCTGAGATACAAGACAGCTTCCAATGTGCCCTTTCTCCCTCCTCACGCCCCCCAAGGTGAACCAGGATGCCGATCGTGAATAGGGCCAAATAGCATTAAATCAGGGGGCACCCACAAAACAAAATAATCTACATTTAAATCTGAGGAGTGAGATTACACATGCCACTTCTATTTCTGGGCCCATGGATAAACACCGATTAGTGTACCGCACTGAACAGGGTTAATAGGAGCTTGTTCGGTGGGTAAGCACGACGCCTCAAGGCTTGGCCTCACCGATCGATAGGAAACATTGCTGAGTACGTGCACAGTACCATTACTGTGCACAGACATATAAGTTGGTAGCAGCTGGCAAGTTTTAATTGAGTGTCAATGGACATGTCTGCCACGGTGGGGAGGTCTTTCCATGTAAGGAATGCTCTGCACATAGTCCTTTTGTTTGTTTGTTTATTTATTTATGCATTCTGGGAGTCGGGGTAGACTGCGCTGATTGAAACAAACACTCCACAGTATGTATGGCAATGCAGAGTCTTCCAGCCAGGGGGCTATAATTTACTGCCTTGTTTTTGATACTGGAGCACGAGCTCAAGTTTCACATTGACTTCTATTTCTATGAATTCTGTTCTGCAAAGCAGTTTTATTTATAATTGACTCGAGGTAGTTATTGTCCCCTTGACCACAAAGAGGTCAGGGGTCATGGTCGGCTATGAAGATGATGACGAGGCTTTGATTTAATATATAGAAAACACGTGTGAGCTTTTGTGTATATATTTGCAGTAATATATTTTAGTCAAAAGGAAGACTTTTAAATGCTTCAGTGGCAGTACTTATTTCAGCTGCAGAAAGTGAAAAGCCATTAGCAGCTGATCTAACTCATAGATTTTATGGATCAAACTGAAAGGTAATTTTAGTCCAATCAGACTGCTGTATTCTCAGAACATCAAATGCATTTAATTCAGCCAATTCACTTCAACTTGTAGGACCATTATTCTCATTCTGGGCCAGCCAACTTTAGGATAACATACGGAAAAGGGACACACATTAGTGTAATTTACCTCCGACATTTCAGCAGAGCCAAAGGACGACATTTGAACTAAATCCTCTGTCTTCCCATATTAACACCCACATGTGGCCCCAAGAGCAAACCTGGGAATTTGTAGGACCCAGCAGACCTCCCAGCCCCCGGCTTCACCTGTTCGCATGCACATTTCTTCCCCCTTTCTTCCACTTGGGATTGCCTTCTATCGCCCCATGATAATGACAAAAGACCTCATGCCTCTAACAATGCTGTCGTACGCGTGCAGCTTGCTGATCCTATCCGCGTCTTTTGCCGGTGCCTCCCTGGCCGAGATGGTGTTCCGCTGCCCCGGCTGCACCGCGGAGCGCCAGGCGCTGTGCCCGAGGCTCACCGAGACTTGCGCAGAGATAGTGCGCGAACCCGGCTGCGGGTGCTGCCCCGTGTGCGCCCGCCAAGAGGACGAGATGTGCGGCGTGTACACCCCGAGGTGCACCACCGGTCTGCGATGCTACCCGACGCCCGACTCGGAGCTTCCCCTGGAGCAACTGGTGCAGGGTCAGGGGCAATGCCTGCGCAAAGTGGACACCGAGACGGCCACTTTGAGCCAGGAGCAGCGGGAGCAAACCAGCGGTCAGTCTGTTTCCTGGAAACCTGTTTTTCTTCTATCAATTTTTAATGACACTGTCTAGACTGCAGCCTGAAGAATAGTGTAGACATTTTGCATTGCCATGAAGGCTGAGCCCAAATCTGTGTCACCATTTCGCACAATTGGATAAGATATGTTCATGTTATATCATACATTCTATTTATAGTGTCTACAGTGCATCCTTTAAACAGGAATTGGATAATTATGCGCCCCTTTAGAGCCTTTTTATACCCTTTGCCATCAGGATTTACCCACAGACTTGAAATAATCTGGAAGTTTGTGCTATCAGCACTTTGTTGCATCCATTATGTTGCATTAGTATGTTGTTCTTTATGTGCATTTGAGGTGTGCTATTTCTGAACTTCTTCTGCAGTAAGGACCTCTGTTCTTCAGCCTGTTGCATGAGGTATTCTTACACTCATGTTAAAGCCTGTGTTGCATTGACTTGTTTATAGTGTTGTGAATGTGCATGGGGAGAGAGAAACAAAAGGAACAGTCACCCAGCCCAAGTTAACCTCAGCTATGCTCCAAAACAGCTGGAACCTCCAGTCTCTCCCAGTATCCCCACTTTAAAACACTGTGACAGAGAACAAGGTAGTGGCCCTGCAAGATTCCCAGAAATTACTCGGTGGGATCGTTGCAGAAAACATCATAGTATTGATGTTGACATTTCCACAGGGGAGTGGAGAGAAAGGAGTGGAGAGAGACAGCAGGAGGAATGCAGCATTGATTGGAAAAGTGGACTTTAGGCTTTGACCAGAAATAGCTATAAAGTGGTGTTGACAGTGACTGCATTAACCGGGCTGTCTACCTGGAAAACGAGCTGGATGTATGTGCAGGCGGGATCACAATAAAGCTTCATGAGGCCTGGAGCCAGCAAGGCTCATGTGGCTTGTGTTTGAATAAGGACAGGTCGCAGTGAAGAAAGAAAAGTAAACCTCCTCATTAATTGGCTGATTTTGAAGCTGCAGAAACACACACAGTCGACGAGTGTGCAGCGGAGCCAGCTGCGCTGTGATTTTTACTCATTTCCAAATCCTTGCTTTGTCAAAGTTTACCTTCAGACTGACACGTGTTTGTTTTGGCAGCGAACTCTGTAGAGAAACTACTGAAGAGTACCCCTGCAACTCAGTAAGGACTCTCCAGCACACTGACAAAAAAGGGCAAAAATGGTTGTGACACGTTTGTGATCTAAAAACCACAAATGACTCAATCCAACATTTATGTAACCACACGCAGCGCCCTTCAAACAATAACACACAAGCAATAAAACAGGCGTGAATTGCAGAGTTGCATAAGAGTAAAACATGAGGGCAAACTGCACGAACATCATGTAAAGGCTTGCTTGCAAGACATCAATTTGTTAGGTGTCACTGATGTTTCTTCCTCAGGTTTGGCTCAGGCTGTGCCACGCCTCGCAGTTTGAAAGGTTGGAGATTTAGCTAGATGTGTGCAAAAAGCCTAGAAAGGCTGAATAAATAAAAGAGAATGGAAGAGTGTTACAGGGATTTTTATCAACAGGAAGCACCAGACTTTCTTCTTCTTGGGTCCTCAACCTCTGTTTCAGCTTCAAAATAAGTTGCCCATCCACTTTGTGTTTTAAATATAACATAATAAACTTACTGTTGGCGTTACAGATGCTTAATGTCAGTCTCCTGCTTTCCAGTTGGCCAAGTTTGATACTGCACAGACCTGATTTCCTGTCATAAATTCTTCTCAGATACAAAAAGAGGAAGTAATGAAATCCCCGATAGAGCTCAGCTCTTGGTGGCTGTTGGAAGATTGAGAGGAAACTTCTGGCTGCGACGCACTGCAGCTCCTTTGTTCCAGGAATTAATGTGTAAATGACAGATGAAAAGGCTGATTATAACACAATAATTTGAAACCCTGGGCAAAGAATCAAAGGGTGAAGTTTTGCAGCTGCTTTATTTAGATGTTTATAAGCCTCAACATCCTGGCATCCTGTTGTTCTTGCTTATTGTAGTCCAAGTAAATGTCTTGGACACAAATAACATATTGTAAAACTTATTACACTGAAATAGGATTATATAAGATTTCAAATCAGTGTTTGAAGTGACATTCAGAGAGTTACAGCTTTTATGCGTTTTAAGAATCGATCTGATGGTCGTATCCGTCGCAACTTGCAATGACAGCAGCAGCTTAATCCTTGTAAACTCCTGGATCAGCACGAAAAACAACCAAAGAGGTCAAAGGTCAGAGTTAATATTCCTTTGACCCTCGAATGATCATGGGAGAGAAAAGACGGTGAGAGAGGTGAAAATCAGTCAGAGGATAGAAATGTAGGAGAGATTACAAATTTGGGGAAGATACAAATTTTGTTTTCTGTTATTTGCATTCAAGTATTTATTTAATGAATTCAATATTACAGTTTGTAATATTGCATACAATACATAATACCAAATATTGAAGAACTTGTCAGTGAGGCTTGAAAATAGTGGAGTAATCAGTAACTAATTTAGTTTTTTGTTAGTTTTTAATAAAACTTATTGGATGAAATGTACTGGCTTAGTTTCTTCTCAAAGCCACAGGCGATGTTTGTTCCCTGTTTTAAATGGCCAAAGCAAGTGATTACAACATATTAGTAATTCAGAAAGTAAGAAACTGATATTGCTTCATAAATCCCCTATAATGAACTCCCCAGAGTGCAGTAATGTCTTGTTTAGCTCAGCAGGAAGTGTATTAGGCTTTGGCTACAGTCAAAATTCACTTATGACGGACATTCACGTTTGCTTTATCAAAAGTAATGTGTTTGAAAGTGTCTTAGTGAACAGTGTGTTATAGGGCTGCAAGATGCAGATGGAGATGTTTCTGTGACACTCCTAAACCAGGCTTGAATTGGATGGGTATACGTATACGAACATCTGAATTGAAAACATTAAAATATATGAAATTGCATAAAACCAAACCCTGTGCACTCTGATTACCTCCCTTTGGGCCTTCAGCATCTCTGGTTTGTGTGTTTGTGTGCTGCACGAGTGATTGCCTGCACGTGTTACACTGCACGCAACTACACTGAGGATTTGACACAATAGATTCCAAAAAATGTGTCACGCTTTGGCTTAATTCTGTGCAAGAAGTGTCTCAAATAATGTGCATATCTTAGAATAGATGAATATAGATGTTTAACTCTTAATCCAGATGTTTGCACACGTTATCACAATATCTCATGGATTCAAATCACCAGGACTTCTCTGTGATGTGGGGAACTAGCAGGATCAAATGAGCTACTCCCTCATGAACCCAAGAACTGATTGGAATATTTCAATAATAAAACTAACTGTATTTGTATTTAAATTTCAGACTTTTACGAATAACATGAATATTCCACGTTTCCTACAATTTAAGCTGAAATGCCTCCCTATTCCAAACTAACACCCACAACTTTCCCACTAGCCTCTCTGTTTATGCACAGTATCACTTGATATTCCGTTCCCAAGGAAACCTGGACCCAAATAAAGGTTTCTTTAATCAGCCTGCAGGGGCCTTTAGTTGTTATGACTGGGATCATACCATATGTGACCTCGACGGGGAACAAGTTGATTAACAAAGTCCAAACAGAGCCCTCAGCTGGTAGCTTGAATGTCTCACGGATTACAAAAAAATGGATACAGTCAATTGGTTATTACTCCTCAAAATGCCCATTTTGCCCAAACCTGTCCAGATTCAGCTTTACATGTTGAGAAGTCTTTTGTTTGAATATTGTTAAAAAATGTATGAAGAGGAAAAAGGAGGTGGAAAGAAAAGTGGAAAAGTCCTGTGCCGTCTGGTCGCTGGAATCACATTGTTAGCTAACAAGGGGCATTCCTGTGTACCTGCGGGGGCAACCAGACGGAGCCCGCAGGACTGAAATAGGTCCCAGATAATCCCAGGCTTCTCCAAAAACGGGCGTTTGTGCCATCTCCCCCCCAGGCGTCGACTTCAGGTTTAGTCGTGCCAAGAATCTCCTCGTGCCTATTGAGATCCAGAATAACCTTCCCACCCTCGTTTTTGGACAAGGGTGATTTGAGACAATGCAAACCCCTGTCTGAAATGCTACTTACACTGGAGGGGAAGGGCATAGCAACTCTTTCAACAGTTGTTGAGATGCTTCACTAAAATATGGCACTCAAGGAAAAGTTTGGGGGGGATGACCAAAGTCAATAGGACCACATGGTTAACAAAGATGTTGGTTCTGCACATTGATGATTTTTTCCCCACCATATCTTTCTTTTAAAACAGATGCTCACTTTATGGATAGAGATGTTAATATTTTCAAAACAGGACCTAGTTTGTCAGTGAGAAAGTAGATGCATGTGATGCGCTACAAGTTTGATGCGTTCCAGCTTGCCTCAATCCATGTCCTAGTTTAAGTCCTGAAGTCGCCCCAGAGTTCACCCAGCGGTGCAGGTAGAGCGCAAGATGCCTGGCCTTGGATAGCTCGGTGTGTACGTACATGCCAGAGCCTGTCCAAAGCCTGCTTTTAGATGACTGTTGCGGGCCAGAAAGCCTGGCAGGTAAACATATCTGCACTTTGCTGAGTTTGTGTTTCAAGGAAAACAGTCCCACTAGGCCATGCAGTGGGTGATGGGCTGCAGCTACTCTCTGCCGTTTGTTTCATCAACTTTGCAAGTGGCACATGACCTATTTCCCACCTCAGAGCTGCTTTAAAAAACATATTGAGAGAGAAGACTTCTTTTTTTTTTTTACTGATTTCTACATTCCAACATTTAAAGGGATAGCTCAGTTTTTTTGCAACTGACTCAGATGTCTTTTTGTGCAGGTATAACGACCAGTGATCTTAGGTTAGCTTAGATACGTTACTGGATGTCTGGATTTAATTATTCTTGCCTGTTGATACCTGTTGAAATACAGGGTTACCCAAATGCTCCATGTGCATTGAGAGAAAATGCTCCCATTGATGTCCACTCATTTTGGAGAGCTTACAAACTCACGTCACATCCATGAGTTTGTCTGACAATAAAACAAGGGTTCAGTTCGTATCAATAGGAATAGGACGGGGCGAGAATGCTGATGGCTGTCCTTTTTCAACCTTTCCATTCTCCACCCCGCGGCCAAGTTCTGCCATTTGCTTAGTTGACCAGAATCTGGACAATCAGACATGACACCTCTGGCCTACGTGCCATCTGGGAATTCGACATGGATCAGATAAAGAAAGAAAGCCTCTGGAGCCATTGTGTGAGGATTAACTCAAGCAGTAGACTGGACAGTAGGACTGCTGCTTTGTTGATACTGCTGATCCCAAGCCCACCGCTGTGGAACGGCTTGGACTGCAGAGGCCTAGCGCCCCCTGAAAGTGGGGTCCTGACCCTCTGTGTTGGTGTGTTGGTGTGCGTGTACATTCGAGTGGGAGATTGTCGTATTCGCTGCGTATAAACTGTGCGTTCACACCTATGTGTGGCCAGACTGTGTATTGGAGTGAACATCTCAGGTTTCCTTAGAAGAGAAGGGAGTGATGCTGTTGCACTTGAATACTGTCGGGATTATGTAATGCGGCAAAACAAAAAGCTGCTTACATTTTGTGTGTCGTGTGTTTATCCGCAACACTTGTGTGTGCGCACACACACACACACACACACACACACACACACACACACACACACATGCGAGCACACACCTGATTCCAGTTGACTTTTGCCCTTTTTGGAAAGAGACCCAGCCTTCAAAGAAAAGCCGGAGAGAGCACGATGGAGCGTCATGAGGGGATCTGAAGTCCAACAACACCAGATCTATCTGATGGCAAAAGGCGCCAGCACCGTGTTATTGCTTAGTTTGGAATTTCCTTTCTCCCGTTCTCTCTTAGGCCTTTTGTAATCATATTCTACAAGCGGATGTCAAATTTACCTCTTGCAGAGCGCAGAGAATGCCTCTCCAGTCCACCACCACCACCACCACCAGCAGTAACACACACTCGCTTTCATTCTCTGTCCTGCAAACGCCCTTTCCACAAGTCTGCACGTTACAGCTTGACTCAAACTATCCACTCTCTGGCCCACTGTTTGACCTTCTCTACTGTCTGTGCTTATTTCCCTTCTTTCCTTCAGGCGTCAAGTGAATTCCTGCATAGATGAAATCCACGCTCAAATGAAAATCAGAGAAAACAAACACTCTCCTGACATATTTTAAATATATTCTTACTAGCTGAGCTGAGATGTGATCATGAGGCATTTTCTTAATCTAAAATCAGCTGGTTTGGAGTGACGCTCCTTTTCCACTCCCTCTCCGTCAACCCTCAACCCCTAAGTATGCTCTGTTGTCAGAAACAACATGTTCTGTTGAACCTGATGGCCTCTCACATTGTTTGCTCCATCTGTTTGAAGAGAGGGTTGTTTTTTTTTGTTAGGTTGATGTTTAACAAGACTTCAAGGAGAGAGGAGACGGTCAAACTGAGACTGGAGGAATCACTGGATGGCCACAGTGACTCTGCTGTTTGACATAGTTTCAGTGACATAAACAGGACATGCATTTGATGTTGGTTTAGTTTGCTACATGACTAATTCCTTGTTCATTACGTGTTATTTCCATATATTTAAATCCATAAACAACTGGCCTTATTTTCTATTGTTCAGTATTTAGCCATGCGATGAGAGGTTTTCACGAACCCAAAGTTTTGAGCAACTTTGGTCGTTTTCCCCTGCAAAAAAACCTCCTTTTCTTTTATGATTCTGATGCACCATGCTATCAGAGGTGATAGCTTGAGTTCAGTTTGATCCACTGAAGCATTAGATGTATTGAAACCTCATCATTTTGACCAGGCCTGACTAGGATCAGGTCTGGACCTGCGAAGACCTCAAACCTAGATCGAAGTCATCAAGAGGTCTTCCAAACACAAGTGTAAATGTCTGATGATTTTGTTCATTTATCACCACTTTCAACATCTGCTCATGAAATTAAATCACACCAGTAAGGAAAAAAAGCAACCATGGAAACCTGACTGTGACTAAAAGTTCAACAGAGGCCAACTTTTCTGAGCCCACAAGCTTGTTAACGGAGCTGCATGTGGTTGCTTCGCTCTGTGAGAAAAGGAAAGGATTGTAGTGACTCATTGATTGTGCTGATGCGTTTCAGAGCACTTTAACAGCGGTTTGGACACTTCACCCCCGCAACATTATGTTAAGTGAAAGTGTCAGTTGGGACAATGAGGAAAAATGGTCACAAACACGAGAACTATACTTCAATCCTAAAGCAAAGATCAGAGTTAGACTTTTATATCCTGGAGGGTGCAGGTGAGCTAGATCAACTGGCTACCTTTGAATTAGGACCGATCATCAGACGCAGTGGGAGGGACGTCGGAAAATCCAGAGAATTGTGTTTTATATTTCCCTCCCATCCATCTAATGTCGACTAGTCCTCATGGAAAGGAAAGAGGATTCTCCTCAAGAAGCTGAGAGCTTTTTTTTTTTTTCAAAGCAGGCCACTTACTTTGTTGCTCTGACAAATGAGCTCCGCAATTGGATGCTTATTCCGCCACACTTCCAGCCTGTAAAAAGCCCAATCCATTACCACGATGACAGCAGGAGGGCATCAGAGCGGCTCAGTGAGAGAGACGGTCCTGGAAAGTCACAGGTTTAATGCTTTTAGCAGCCAATGTGTCCATCATAGTGTCCTTGAGGCCTGTCCTGCCCAGTTTATTTTCTACTCTTTTGGGGACACTGTTAAGACGTAGTTTAAAGTGTGAAATATGTGACTTTTTTAACAACTAAATGTATCAACACAGTAGAAATTTGGGATACTTAGATTAAGATTTGATGGATTTATATGTCGTGTCTCCACAGGCGAGGCTGTGGAGCCGCTGCCTGAACAGGGTGTGAGCGAGATCCCGGCCATCCGGAAGCCCAGCAAAGAGACCACCTGGCTGGGACCCAAAGAGAGCGCCGTACGCCAGCACAGACAGGAGATGAAGACCAAGATGAAGACCAACAAGGTGGAGGAAGTGAAACCCCCGCGGCCCAAACAGGTGTGTCTGCTCCACAGGAAAAGCTTTGGATATAGCTCTTGAAAAGTTCTTAAGTCTAAGTCCTGGAATCAACCAGAAGAAGAAAGAGGAACACCAAAATTATTTTTGAACCTGTTCAAATGTTGTTATTATAGAGCTTATAGAATAAGTAATGACTTAAGAACAACCTGGCACAATATGTTGTAAATCTGTAAGACATGGCATAATAACGACGGTCAGCTTCTACTAGACAAGAACGTGTAAGTAGCGCAGTCTTTTCCAGAAGAGACTTCCCTGCACTACCTATCTCCTCAGACTGCTGAGGGAAGAAAAGAGGAGGTCAGTGTCGCCTCCCTCTGGTCCAGCTGCTGTGGATATTTGGCTGCTGCATTGAAGTTTTTTATTTGAGGATCATTCAAAGTGCAGTTAATGCTGTTGATAAGTGATAGTTAAATTCACTTTAAAGCCTGAGGAGGAAATAACGTAAACACCTAACAACATTTTCATGCCATGGCACAAAGAAAAGGCTTTGGCAGATATTAAATACACCTGACCGGCTCTGTAATCCGGAGCTGGGACTCTCGAGTGAACCCTGGGCATTTCTGACCGGCATCGTGGTATTTTCCATCCGCTATAAAAATCAGTTAAAGTTTATTGCTCAGCCAGAAACTTATAGCTGTCTCAACAAGGCATTTGGCTGTGTGGAATTGTGAGGTAAATCTGAGGTCACTGGCAAGAGTTGTTGTTCATTACTGGCAAGAAAACATGATTCATTTGCTCATTACAGAAAGCCCCTTCAGCTTTATTATGTGTGTGTGCCTTTTATGTGAGATTTTATGTAGCATGTAAAAAATGTGCTGATGCCTTGCAAACACATCTTGGTGTTGATGAATGCATTTCTGCTGTGTGCATGAAATAAACTGAATTTATGAACATTTTTTAAAGGAAAAAGGGTGATAGAAAAGATCTGATTTCTTATTTTCCAAAGAAAACAACAAATAGGAAAAACTCTAATCTCCATGCACAGAGGTTTGAATTATTGTAATATTCTTTTTAGAACATTTATTTTGCCGCAGGCCAACCATAATTTACCCGACTGTCACAGAAACCTGGTGACTCACAAACCCAAACACCTCTATACGGGTGTGTTAACATAACCTTTGCTGTTGTTTTTAAGACTCAGTGTCAGCAGGAGCTCGACCAGATCCTGGAGAGGATATCCAAGATGCCCTTCAGAGATAACCGAGGTCCCCTGGAAGACCTGTACGCCCTGCACATCCCCAACTGTGACAAGAGGGGGCAGTATAATCTCAAACAGGTGACTCCAGGCATTGTGGGAAACAGGGTGGTAAGCTGAGCGGGTGTAGAAACTTGATACTATACAGGTGTTGAAAGGAGAAAAGGTGGGTAAAGCATCATAACCGCCAATTTAAACAGTGACATGCGGCTTTATTTTTGTCTTATTAAAGCATCTTATTGCACATATATGTATTTAAATACTGTGTGTGTGTGTGTGTGTGTGTATATATAGAAAAGAAAAGGGATCTAAATGAAACATGTGCGACCTAAAACTGATATTACACATAGTTTTGCACAACACATACATGCATATTGTCGTCATCTAAAATAGCGTAAAAACATGCAGAAATAAAACACAGCATATTGTGTTTCAGTGCAAGATGTCTCTGCACGGGCAGAGAGGCGAGTGCTGGTGCGTCAACCCCCACACCGGCCGATCTATCCCATCAGCCCCCATTGTGAGGGGCGACCCCAACTGCAGCCAGTACCTCAGAGAGCTGGAGCTGGAGCTCCCTGACATGGACCAGATTTAAAGTGGCATAAAAACAAAACAAAAAAACAAAAAAAAACTGTAAAGTACCTGGGAACAAAAAAAACATCTGAGTAAGCTATATATTATCTGTCTATTTGTATGTGTCTGTAGTTCATTTGATGACATTTGAAATCTTAACCACCTAAAAGGATTAGACGATAGAATCCAGCGTGCTGCGTAGGATGCAACTGCAGATTATTTGTAGAAGTAAAGATAAGACTTTCAGTAGACAGCTGGAGTGTTGGTGACTTTTGCTTTACTAATTGTGACTGTGCGCAGAGTTGCTCTGTTATCAGTGTTTTGTTCTGTTTGTGTTGAAAAGTGAAAAGCCTTCAACGTATTTGGTTTTAGGTGTGTTTTCGTTGTCCTCGCTTGCAGACTACTGTTACGCCTCATTAACAGATAACGCTATTAAAATGGTAATAAATTCAATGTGTGCCTGCCTGTGTTTTAATTTGTACACACACTTTGAATGTGCCGCACTCGATGCAGGGTTGTTTTGAAAGTTAAGATTCATCCCGAGGGGCGCACAAATAATTGGTACCAAATTTCACGAAAGTTCATCCACTTTTTAGTAATTTCTGTCAAAAACAGAGAACATCGACCTCATACTCGTGGAGGAAAAGTCAGGATCACTAAAGTGAGAAGGATACATCATCTGGTGAGCATGAATGTCTGTACAAAATGTAATGGTGATCCATTCAATACTTGTTGAGACATTGCAACTGACCAGAGACGTAAGGTATGTTAAAAAGAAAAGGACTCCCTTACCTTCCTTATTTAGTATTACTGTGTCAAAATGAATCACATTTAGCACAAAACTATGCTGAGCTGACCTCTGTGTGTTGAGTCTTTCAAAACATAACTCACCTTTGGAAACTCCCCAACGAGAAAAGTCTCCGCAGGCAGTTTCGCCTTTGACAGCAGATGGAATCAACCTGAGTGTCAAGGTTAGAGAGATAGCAGCCGCAAAAAAAGAAAAGAAAACTGACTCAACAGAGGTCAAACAAAAGTGCAGTTATGTCTTTTTTTTGTGAGTACATGAACTTTATTTAAATAGTGATTTGTCATTACAAAAAAAAAACGAGTACATCAATTACACGCCTGTTAAATATTTCACCATAACGTTCACATTAATCTTTTTATTAAGAGATTCTGAAATGCTCAAAGTGTCACTGTGTTGTGTTCACGTGTGTGCTAGAATCAACAGAGAGAAGTGGGAAGAACCGGCTGCGCTTATTAGGAATGTCTGAGATTACAAGAGTTGTTAAATGAACGTCATGATTAGAATGATGACAACAAAAGCTTTTGAGCAAAATTTGAATCACAGAACAAACAATGTTGCCCACCAGGGCTTGACTGGAGCGATCTTTGTCAGCAACCAACAATCATTCAACGACACAAGGAGTCCACATGCAAATGGAAATTCAAAGTGGCGTGGAGGAGAAGCCACTTCAATTTACATAGAAACTCAGCGACCTCGCTCTCTGCGGGATACAGGACCCGATAAACCCAGAGAGCAAGTCAAATTTGCCTGCGTGGTGGCAGTGAAGACCCTTCAGGTGGAAACATAAACAACGCGATGCCTTTGCATACGATTTGTGTGCCAAAGAAAGGAGACGCACCACATTTGTGGGACAGTAGCTGGGGTAGGCTGGCCTCGTGAGAATTTAAACCAGAGCTTGTTGTAGTTGAGAACTATAAGGGCATGGCACATACAGTACACAGAATGCACACACACACACACACACACACACACACTGTACATACATTTACAAAACAGGAGGCAGTTGTCTGGACTTGAAAAAAGAGGCCGGGTGTCAAATATCTCACCTCTGACAGCACAATGCAGTATGCTAGTTTATGAGAGCTACGCGAGATGTAGAAAATAATCATCTCTAACTGGCAAGAAACATTTACATTATTCATATGCATTCTGTTGCTCATTTCTCATTTGATTCTCCAAAATTTAAAGCTGAATCTTTATGATTTTCTTCTTGAGCTTTGAGCATAAGTGCTGGCAGGTGGACTTTGAAACTTTCTTTTTCACAGCGTTAGCTCCATATTTAACAGACTAATATGAGAGTGGTATCAATCTACTCATCTCACTTGTTATGAATATAAAATGCTATTCCTTTAAGTGTGTTGGCTTCTGTTAGCTGCAGGTCTGTAGATTTAACAAATGCTTTCCTGACTCTATGCTGAACAAACAATTAAAGCTACCATGCTGACATGGCTCCATCTATGTCGTTCACATGATTAACAATTAATAAAACGTTGCTAGTTAAAGAAATTAGAAGTGTTAATTTTTTAGCCACATGGAAAATATGTCTTGTCTCAGAATTAAATTTAGCAACACAATCAATAAACAACATAGTATCACTATCATACAAATATATATATATATAATCCTCTATTATCTATGGATATAAAGAGGCGAGGTGTTAGCTAACCTCAAACGTAGTACGATCAGCGGGGAGCCACATAACACCTACATGTGAGAGCTTTTCAGTTCAGCTCCCCTCTAGAAAACAATAAAAACACAGTCCATCACACCTGACCATATATAGAAGAATCTGTGCTATATTTTCCTGATTGGCAGTCATTAAGTGTGCTAGCTTGATTGGCAGGTTTAAGAAGAGGCGACTCTTTCCCTCTCATTCGTTGCTGTTGCTGCTGCTGTCGAGTTCTTTGCACTGCAGGTCTCCTCCGGCGTAGTTGATGCCGGGGATTTTCGCGCCAAAGCGATCGACGCACCAGCAGATCCCCCTCCTCCGACCACGAGACGGCTTGCACTGCAAGTATAGAGTGCGCAGGAAACGGATGAGGCGCTTGTGGTACTTCTGCTTTATCAAATTATTGTCTCGAAAACCAAGCTGCTGTAGTTACAGTAAGAAGCAGATATGCGATGCAACCCACGAAAAGACCTTTCCATACCTGTTTGCGCTTGAAGAAGCCCTTCTTGTCACAGTTGGGGATGTACAGAGAGAGAGCCAAGACCCTGGAAGTGTCCTTCATGCTCTGAATGAGATTATCCAGTCTTCTCCCACAGGGGCCCTGAACACACACACACACACACACACACACACACACACACACACACACACACGTGAGTGTTTGCATGGTCACAATGGCCCAGAAATAAAAAAGTAAGGAGGTGGCAAATACCTCCACTAATGAGGACTTTAGTCATTTGTTCACACCTTTTTGGTTTGTGTGAAAGAGGCCCTGCAGGGCATCATGGCTGATTTGTCAGAACTGGTTTCTTTATAATGATTACCCTGTGAGCTGAGTTTATAATCCCTATACTTCACTTACGAACTCAGGCTCCAGTTTATCCGGGCTGATCGGGGAGAAGTTCAGGTTGCTGGCGGGTCCCAGCCGGGCCAGCTGCTTCTTGCGGTCTTTGGCCTGCTTCATGGCATGGGCCTTCCGGCTGCCGATGTGGTCTCTTCCATACAAAGGCGCCTTGGTTTGGGGCTGCATGGACTCTGGGACGGGTAGCACTGCGTCATCGTGGGATTCTCCATCTGATAAAGGGCAAAGACTCATCATTATGATGCATGTTTGAGGTTTATTAAAAAGGTGCCTAATGAGGTCATTCAAAGATCATTCAAAACTCTCCCTCTCAATCCTGCTGTTGTTTAAATGACATAAAATCTTTAATTTGGAGAATCAGTAGCTTTACTGCATGAATGACTAGATGCACGGTTTGACAGAACACAAACACAACTCCTGAAGCAATTACATGAATGTGCACCAGAAGTCCAGCTGCATGTTAGTCCTCCAAAACAGGGCTTCAAAGCATTTTCCCGCTGATTTTCCACTTGGAAAAGCACCTCTTTGAGTAGTTCAAATTAAAAAAGTAAAGCTAAACTCGTGAGGGCAATAGACAGCAAAGTCCAATTTAGTAATGTCACAATACGACGTGATGATTTCACGGCCCCAGCTGAATGCTTATTTAGCAGTAAGTGTACTGGCCAGTTGCAGATTGGAAGTGTTGACATACAGAACAACATAGCCTACATTTATGGCAAGACAGGTTGCCAGTTTGGGGTATATGTAGACCAGGGGTTTTAAAACTTTTATAGCCGGTGACCTAAATGAGATATTTAGTCTCACCCTGGCACCCAGACCCATGAAAACATGCTATTACACTTGTCATGTGGCAAGCCACCAGAAACAGCCGCAGCCCATTTTGGGTCCCAACCCCCACAGGAACCCTCATGTAGCTACATGCATCTTTCGTCCGTGCAAAAATACAGCTCTTTGCTACATTTTGGGGAGTCGCACACAGTCGCTCAGACCTCAGTGCTCACCCCTCGCCCTCGTCCCACCCTCCATTCACACGACCGCAACGGCTGTGCCGAGGCCAGAGTTAGTGGCTGTGGCTTTCTTTCCCAAAAGCCCTTTAAACTGATATTCCCCTTCAGTTATAGCTATAGCATTAGCCTTGTATGTGTCCTAAGCCACAGCTGGCCCGTTTCCACTGCTGTGTCACGCAACTTGTTTCCGTTTCATTTTGGCAGATTGCAAATTCTGCTTTTAAACCCCTCCGTTTCTGCACTGGCGTGATCGCTAAGCTAAATTGGGCGGTGAAACAAGGTCATCGCCACGTTGCAAGTGACGCCTAAAAAACCTGCCGAGCCCCTCTACCCCCCCCCACCCCCCCAGCAATGATGATGAAGATGATGTCATCCATCCACATAAGGACAGGTCCTTGGAAAAAGCAAGAGATTCCCCCATCCTCCAGTTTCCTTGCTGACAAGGTTCTTTTTTTTTTCTTCCTCCAGAGAAAGCTGAGGCAGATAAGCAGCAAGCGTAAACCCAATCAAGTCCTCACTTGCTAATCCTCGAGTTTGTCTAATCTGACCTGTGCTGACTGATCGCATCTTTCGTTTCTTCTTTCTTCCTCTCCCTTTTCTTCGTGTTTGAATCGTGAGACGTGGGGATCCTGCAGAGCCGTATCCCTGCAGGTGGAAGTGACAGAAAACTCATTCCTTCCTTTCTTTGCTCTTGACAAGGTCTTTTTCTTCCTCGCTATGTGGGAAACTGACATGAAATCTGTCCCGATAATGTTGCAGAAGAACTTGAGCTTCATGGTTCACACATACTTGCAGGAAAAGGCAACTACTGTTTTTTTCAGCTTTCATCCAGGTTTGAATGACAACTTGTGTCATTGCATTATAATTGTGCAAAATGCACACATGCATAGTGGTGCATTAATTGAAGGATGTGTTAAAACATACTGTGTAACGGTTTTCTACATTTTATGAATGCACAGTATGTATGCATACACATTTGTTGCTCTTCTCCATTGTCTATGAAATGTAATTTGTGTATGTGGTGTGTATTTATTAGTGTGCATATGGGTTTTGTTTAATTTATGTGTTTAGAAAGTGCCCAGCAGGAGATGTGGAGTTAATGGAGAAGCTGGCTGACGGGCGGACAGATGGGGGATCAGTAACCCACGCTCAGCCTGCATTCTGCTGAATCACTGCTCAGCCTGGGCATGCCTGCAGCACCGAGATGTAGAGAGGGAGGGAGGGGAGGGAGAGAGGGAGGGAGGGGAGGGAGAGGGGGAGGGAGAGGAAGGGACCAGGGGGGGACTAACAAAGGGGGGGGGGAGGGAGCAGCGGATAGTGTGGGAAAGGGTGGAAAAGGGAAGGGGAGATGAATAGAAGATTGGAGTTTTTGCAGTTTTTTTATTACAATTTCTCAGATGCAGAGCTGCTCTGAATGATCTTACTCTGCTGGAGTGAATTCAGCCAAAAATTTAACAGAAAATGTAATGATAAAAACAATATAAATGGACTGAAACAAGGCGAATTTGAATGAAACATTTGTATGACAGTATTTCAGTGTTTCCATCCTTTCTTATCTTACCAAGAACAACTGCGGCTCCTTGGCTGAAGTTTAACACAGCCAATGAGGTTATTTATTTCCAGAGTAGCTTTACCCTGAACCAAAACTCCAATCTGCAGCAAAGTAAAGCTTAACACAGAACGGGTGAAACTGGGGATGGGGTGGGGGGGGGGGGGGGGGGGGGGAGAAGAATAAGAATAGGGTGTAAAAGATGAAGAGGGACAGTAGCCAGGCAGGGAAAGAGGAGAAGAGGCAGTGTGGTGGGAGAGAATAGAGAGACGGAGACAAAAAGGTGGGTTAGGTGTGGGAAAAAAAAATAAACAGGTGGTGGATGTAGAAAAAGTAGAGGTGTGCAGGGCAACAAAAGAATAGCTATAAGACAAAAAGGAAAAAGAAAAGAAACTGTTGAGTAAGGGAAGAGGGCAAAATCTGATTCGGTGCAACATTTCCCACAAAGCGCAGACATAGTGACTGTCCCTGAACTGCCATTTAAAGGAACCAAAAAGGAGTCTCGCGGAGCACCACCTGTAATCTTCTCCCTTGTTTTATGTCGGCTGGGGGCCCCGAGGCGACGGGCCACTCACACGAAACCGACTGATTTATGGCTCGCAGCCCCACAAGGTCTATTCAAACCAAGATGACAGGTTGATCGAAGCTCGGCACCCATTGTTGACAGAGTTCACAGGGTCAAGGCGCACGGGGTCTTTTGAGTCGTGTGCCTCGGTAATGACAGGTGTCAACCCGTCTTGAAGAGGGCTGTGCGTTGACTCCCATCAGCCTCGCTGGCTCCCAAAAGAGTTAGGGGGGGGGGGGGCTACTAAACTCACTTCACGCCCTTTTCTTTTGTCTCCCACAACTTTAGAAAACTAAAAGCAAACTCATGTATATTGGAGTGATATTTTATGACAGGGAGGGGAATAGTGAAAGTGTTTTTTTGCACTGGTGATTCCAGTCTGGAGGTCGTTTTTTTAAATTCACCACTGCATCACTGGCCCACTCTGTGTCACTTGAGGGCTTCATTAAAATTCCTTCATTAACAAGAGAGGAGGAACATCTCCATCCAGCTGTTTGCTATTTCTTTGCACCAGAGCCTTTTAGATCAGCGGTTGATGACACACTTTAAGCAAATGCAACAGAAACACCAGCACAGCTGACACAAAGTTAACCAAGTAGAGCACTGCACATTTAGTGCTGGAATATACTTTAAAGCCCTATAGTGGAATGAGGGGAGGAGGAGGAGAGAAGGTTTACACGAACTATAATGATTAAAACATGTATGTGATCTGAATCAGTCATCGCTCCACAGGCCTACCTTTCAACGTATGCATCAGTTTATACAACTTCTCGTTCCTGCATACGCCCCGGCCGTGCAGGAGTGCGTGCAGCGGCTTCTCCTCGCCGTTCTTGGGCAGGCAGCGAAGCCCGCGCGTGCACGGCCCGGTGTACACGCCGCACGGCTGGCCCTCTTCCAGCGCGCACGTCAGGCAGCAGCCGCAGCCGGGCTCCTTCACCAGGTGACAGCCCACCGGCACCGGCGGACACATGGACTGGGCCTTCTGGTCGCACGGCTGGCACGGCACGTACGACGAGCCGCAGCCGGTAATGCTGAGCAGGGGGACCATGAGGAAGGAAACGCTCAACAGCATGGCGCGCTTCTTGTCTGAACTGCAGGCTGTTTGATTGAAACCGCAACGAGTATCAACTATATCTCGTGCTGAATCCTTTTTTTGCAAAAAAGATTGGAGTCCAAAGGAGGAGGGGGGTGTTGCATCCACAGGTGCCTTGCGCGCTCAAGTCCCAAAATGACAGCGTATCCAATGCTCGCAATCCACAAAGACAGTCACTCTGCTGCTTCCCCTGCGCTGTCCCCCAACCCTGCAGTCGCAAATTAATTCGAAAAAGAGAACAAAATATCCAGACACCACGGATCTCTGCCTTCAGCGATGGTTTTTACGCGCGAGCTGATTGTCTCCAAATGAGAGATGGAAAGCCTGATTCCAACTGTCGCTCCCTCTGTAGGTTATTTAACCCGCACGGGTTGAGAGCAAAATGTATAATCTGTGGCTTTGAGCCTGCCTTTTAAAAAAAAGAAACATCCAGAGGCGAAGCCTACAACGATGGGTATGTCAAACAACGTTTGGAGGGGGAGGCGCACTTGTCAACTCCGTGCGCTGCGATGCTGATTTCACAGGGCGGGTGCTGGCATGCCTCCAGATCTGCCAGATACGAGGCGATGCTCCTGAAGTTTAATTGTTTCTGCTGAAGAAGAAGGCAGATCACTTCTTCCGAGGTCTCTTCAACCAAGAATATTATGGAAACTCAATTTAAAATCGCTGATGAGGTCGTTTGAATTGCAGCCAATGAGCTCCCAAATCATGCTGCTGGGTTTAGGAGAGGAAAGAAAAGTAGTTTTAGTGTTTACAGACCTCTTGTATATAAAACTGGTACCATTACTGCAAGCACGAAGAGAGACAGAACAACTTGGCAGAAAAAGAAGAAAATGTGACCTTACGCAACAGAATTCATGTCGCATACAAAGTGTTTTGTTTTGTTTAAAGAAAAATAATTTAGGGTCAACAAAACTGAGCGACTCGTTAAGACAGAGATTGAAGGTGAATATATTTCTTTCTAAGCTTTTGTGGAGCACATTTCCATGGAGAGATTGTGACTGACAACATATTTATTGGTCGATGTGTTACTGGTCCCTTAATGCTCACTTCCTGCTCTTACTCAGACTGACGTTTCCAACAGTGTGCATCCACATGAGGAGGGTTTTGAGGTTAAACTGTACAATGATTCATACAACAGTTACAGTTTTATACTTGACCCCCAATCTTAGTGTTCAGATTTGGGGTTGGTCTCCATCTCTGCTACTTTCACTGGGAATCCCAGATCCTGATCTCCATCAAAATCTAAATACTTGTTCAACATAACCTCCTTGGAAAATGCAATTAGAGTATTCAGATACTCATGTTCCACTGTTCACTGTTCCCATGTGCAGCTATGAGATGCATACATGACCCCCTAAAGCCTAACATGTGTCATTTTCCTCTCTCCTTGTTTATATCAGAAATCTTATCACGGCACTAAACCAAATGTAAGACTTTCAAAGTTAAGGGTGGGTTCCTGCTTGTGAAACCAGAACGCTTTTATAATTCCCTACAGATATCTTCAGGGTTTCTCTCTTTTGCCAAAGTACTGTAGCTTTAAATATTTGTGCGATGCTGTCTTATCCATAACAAATGTTTTCTCCAATGATCTGCACAATGAATGTAAAAAGGTCCAGATCGGGGCGAACCGCACTCGGGCCAACCTTTTTTTATGACTCAGCGAGGTCAGTGTCCAGTGAGATAAGTGGTCAGCTCTCATGGACAGTAACAAAATGCTCATAATTCACTTGGTGTTTTGGCAGATACCAATATATATCTGAGGATCTTAGAAGATCTGCATGTCTTTGTTTTTACTATCCAGAGTCCAAGAGGAGTTCATTTAATGCTTTTGACCCCGGTCATCTTCTTGGAAATGTGCCGTGTATACTTCCTTGATTATTTGGTTTAATTTGCCTCTGTGTTTACATCCTGTTTTTCTTCTTCTTGGTTTTGCACTTTAAGTGGAGTTTTCGTGCCCCGTGATGGGATAACTGAAACTGACCTTGAAAGACCCACACTGATCAAAGCCTCTATATTTCTTTGCTGTGTCGAGTTTCACTTCCTCTCTCACCCTTCCCCCATTCACGAAACTTTGTCGGCAAACTCTTTTTAGATCATTCGACCCCTGTTTGCCGTTTCCCTTGACCTTCGCGCCGCATCGGGTGTCAGGTGACGTCACAGGTGCCGGAAAGGTCAGCTCAGCATCGCCCACGCACCCCTTTCATTTCCCTCGCCTACCTGTCCGGATCTGAAGAAAGAGCGCCATTCACATTGTAAACCTGTGCGACAAATCTCTCTCTCACAGGTTCCAACAAAAAACAACAACAACCTCCCTTTCAAACATCGTCCTGAGGCTCCCTATGGTTCATAAATTGGTGAGTTATTACCCAGTGGCATATTGGCAATGCTGGTGCTTTTACACTTGTTCTGTTTTCTGCAAATGTGAGACAAGGAGGAGCTATGCTCCAAGGGCTGCTAGGGTTCATAAACCCCGACGCTACGTTCTGCTAAGGTTGGGTTTCCTGTGTAGTTTGGGTCTGAGTCAGTTGGTGTATATGGGCCATATGATGCGCAGCTGGTGGATATAGCTGTTCTCAACAGAGGGGAACGGTTCGGGATTTTCCTGGAAATTAAACCCTGGACTAAATGGGAGGGTTTAATGTTTTGGGTGTCTATATTAACGACGTCTATAAAGCTCCTTTAGTAACATGCTCGCTGTTTGGCGTGTCACGGTACACAAATTCCCCTGTTTGGTCCGTTTAACTTCGACTAAGTATTGTTGGCGCACAGTTTGCTTCTGTTCCATCGCTCTTATCCCAGGTTACCAGAACACTCCCAAAAGTCTCTTCAAACTCTAGTTTTCCTTTTCTCCCACTGACGACTCTCGCTGTACGAGCAATGCATCAACACGTAGTGTGGGTCACGGTTCTTTGACGGTCATGTGTGAACTTTGAACTTTAGCTTTTAAAGGTACAGTGTAAAGCATTTTAGGGGATCTATTAGCAGAAACTGAATATGATATTCATAACTATGTTTTCATTAACCAACATGGACAAGATGTTGTTAAAGTAAGACAAAAATGGAAATTTTAAAATCTTCAATTCTATGGTCGAACTCCATCTGCTGATGAAGACCGTGTGATATGATCGAAAGCTCCAGAACATCTCCTAAATAGGCAATGTGGTGAGAAATGTTTCTCAAACACTGAACTTGATAGTGAATCTTGTTAGCAACATGGACTTACTGTTCATCACAGGACATTACAGAAACATAATGTCTTAGTGCAGGTTCAGGTCCCATTCTTCAGGATTTGTGTCCTTGGTGATTTGCGACACAGCTACTGAAACTGACTGAATGCTGATCTTTGACCTCCCTCTGAAAACAAGTCAATACAACAGCCTCTTAACTCTCTCTGTTTCCCTGAATCTTAACCTTTTCCTGTGTTTTCTTTTGTGACTGGAGTTGAAGCACAAAGTGCAGGTCAATCTTTAAAAAAACTGAACACAAAAAAACGTTTTAGATCAGAAAAAGTGATGCATTCTTTAATAATATGGAAGTTGGCATAAAAGTAAGAACATTCTGAAAGATGTTTAAGTTTTATCTGAGACAAGAGCTTTCACTGTGGATTCTCAAGAGGTTTGAGAGGTACTTTCAGATCACAACTCAAATACAGTAGCGTTCAAATCATCCATCTTTTGCCCCTCTCATGTACGATTCCCTACTTTTTCTCCACCATTTCGTCTGCCTCTTTGTGTTCATATCCTGACCTACTTTATCCGTTGGAAGACACTGAAGCTTGTTCTGGAAGAGATAATGGAGCTGGAGTCAACTTGACGAAATGATCAAAAGCAGAGAAAAGGAGCAACCTCCGCACAAAACGGTCAGGAGCGGCGATACAATCTATGAGATACAGTGCTCCAGTGTCGCGTTTCTCTCCAGCCCCGGTACCTCGGGCTAACCTGCTGCAAAGTGTGCCAGACGATGAAATAATCCTTGTGAAAGTGATATCTTGAAAGCCATGTGCAGCAAGATGTTTTCTTGGAAGTAGTATTTGTTTGTGCCTCCAACTTCTAAGTCAGGTGGCAAATAATCATCTTTATTTACATGCATCAACGTTTATTATTGTTGGGCATCATTGATCATTTGTGTCTAATTGTTTTGTCACTATTTTCCATCCCAAACCCTTCTTACTGCCAAATGCTACCAAGTTAGCTTAGCTAGTTAGCATAGCTGACTTTCCCAGTTGAAAATGTGCGGCAGCATGTGGAGGTTTGATCATCACATTTCTCATCTAGTCTGCTGGGTTGGACGACGTCTGCAGCCAGGATGACGAATGTGCGGTTTACTTTCCAGAGAATAGATAGAAAAGTGATTTAGATTCGGTCTGTATGAAGTTTAATCTAAATCTAATGCAATAACCCACAGTGGATTTTTACTGTGGGTTGGCTTGAAGCTGCTGCTAGTTATCACTCCAACTGTATGCAGCTTGATGTGGATCGGCAGATGACTCGTTTGTGTGACTGATGTGCGCCACATGACACAGTCAGAGCTTACTGTAAGTGACAAAGCCGAGTAAACCGCTGGAAATGTGCTGAGGCAGCATGCGTAGCCCTCCCCCATACACAGAGAAAGAGTCAGTTCCCAGAATACTGTAAGCACTTGATTTTCAGAAACAATTAGAGGAGTCTAAACTGGGGCTGAAACTCCAAGCAATGCAACCGTGTCTGTGTTTTGTCGTACAGGTGGAGCTCATGGGGGTTTCCCACAAAGCATGCTGGGAAGAAAATGACTGCGAAAGACTAATGAACAAGATATACTGTATTTCTTAAGCATGCCTAATAGCTCTTTAAGTACAACAAACTCACATATTCGTATGAATAATTTTGTCACAGGAAGTGATGTATTTCATGTTTCTGGCATCAGCTGCAGGGTTTGTTTGGAATAAATAGATGAAGAACTGGGTAAATAGAATGAGCAGTGATCAACGTCACCTACAGAGAGTTAATCAAGGGAAAGTCCCAGGGAAAACACATGTCCGGGTCATGGCCACACTGTCAGATTCCCACTTAACATGTGGGAAGTGAAGTGCAGCGATACCACATCAATGGCTGCACAGCATCAATGACGGTATCTGAATCAGAAAAACAACAACAACATATTGTGTTGTTGATAGGCTGCAGTAAAGAAAACAAATCGTGTGCCAATCCATATTTGTTTCAGCCAAAAATGGTCTTTTACTGTAAACTGCATGGCTGCGGTTGCTCTGAATCACAAACTTGTGAAGATGGCAGTGCTCTTGTATTTCCATGACAGAGCAACTGCAGTCCCCGACACCAAATTACACATCGGGCAGTTTGGGAAATGTAAACCGCAAATCAGCAGGGTGGTGTGATCTGCATGCAAAACTATAGCGCAAGGTAAGAGGATGAAAAACCAGCGTTTGAAGAGAGCTGCAGGCTGCAGGGTTCAATGAAGGAGGAAGTTAGAGGAAGCAGTACATGAG